GGGGAGGGAGGGCGGAGTTTGTGACGGGTGTGAAGTTTGATTTTATCTACAGGAGTGTGGGACAGGGCAGATGACATCGATGCTCTTGCACAGGTGAAGGACATCAGATGAAGATGTGGAAATGTGTAGATGATGCTGCTGCTGCTGATTGTGAAGCTGCTGCTGCTGCTGCTGATGATGATGATGATGTGATGATGGAGACAAAGATGATGGGGATTGATGTGAAGGAGGAGATGATGATTGTTACGATGATATTGCGAAGAGATTGATAGGGTTCATGTATTCTCTCGTGTTTCATGCCGATCTTTCCCCAATTCTTCACATCGTTTCTTCCTCTGACAGCGCGACAGTGGTGTTGGTTTGTAGAGGCAGTGACAAAGCTGTACATTGCGTCATTATCCTACCGGAGGATAAGGGTGAGTGGAGAAAATTCAAACTCCTTGCATCACATTGATCCTGTTCTCTTTCAGAACCAGATTGCTGTAGCCATGGCAGCAGGTGATAAAGTTGCGTTGAAGAAACTGGTTGTTCTGCGGGTATGAAGAGCATTTGACATGTTCGCAAGAACTGATCGAGTTTGCTAGCGGATGCTCTTCTTGGACGTCATCAAGTTGGGATGTGACCTGCCGTTGTCAGTGCATTATGCTCGCATGTACGACAATGGCCCTTCGACTGTTCCGGACCGATGGTAAGGACGAGTTGTCATGTTGGTCAGATCAGCAGCTGTGCTCGTTATGACGAGCTTTTTGAAGTCTTGCAGTAGAGATTTGATTGCTGTTTGCAATCGTTTCTGTTTCTGTTTCTTTCTTGCACCACTGTGGTGCTCTTGTCCAAATTACGAGGGCTCTACGATAATCTGTGAATTTGATCTCAAGCACGATGCAAACAGGAGTGTTGTTGAGGACTGAGATTCTTGATCAGGGTTGGCATTCTTGGAGTTGTTGGATCCTTGGCACAATTTCTCGTGAGGTTCCAGCAGCAAACTCATTCCTACTCTTTGGATCTTTGTCTCTCGAACAAGATTGCATGAAGGGAGGAAAAAGAAGGTTGTTGTCTGATGACAACACATGCATCTGTGCGTTTATCACTGTGCATGTGACTGCTGGATGGTTTTGCAGGAACGAAGAACAAAAGAAGAAAGTTTGTGATATATCATGCCCATCCCCATTATTACAACAAAAGATAACCAATATACAAAGTCAAACCTTACATGCATTTGAACCTCCTCCTCCTCTTTCTCCTCTTCCTCCTCCTCCTTCCTGCTCCTCCTCGTCCTCAGCTCCATCCTGGTTCATATCCACCTGCTCATTCACTTTGCTGCTGCTTTGTTGCTTCCTCTCTCTCTCTTCTTGAGCAGCTTCGTTGCCTTCATCGACGTTTCCTTGATCACTTTCCTTACCCGCAAGTAGTCAGGATGCTCAAGCACAGACGCGTCCTCCCAGCCCCCCCTGCTTTCCTCCTCCTCCCCTGGATCGCTGAAGATTCCTCCTGTCACCACCCGGAACTTAGTGTGCCTATGCTGTATCTCCTTCATCTTCCATGCCGCGTACGACTTGTTCTTCCACGGGCTGCTGCCCTCCTGCGGGAACTTCCAGGAGGGCAGAGGAGCACGGGACGCGTCTGGCAGCTTGTGCTCGGGCTCGCAGACGATGCGGGGGTTGAAGTGGGTGAGCATCCTCTGCGGAGAGTGACGGAGGTCGTCGGCGTCGATGGTGAGCTTGGTGGCCTTGCGAGTGAGAGGAGAGATGAGTAGCTTCGAGATCTTGTCCGACATGCTTTCCTTGTTCTTCTGATAGACGACAGCGACAAGCTTGTGCAGGTGGAGGCGAGCAAGGTAGAAACGAGCGATCTTCTGTACCCTGATAGCATTTTTGAGGTGACTTCTGCTGTATCCTGCCTCTTCATGTCAGAACACGTTGGTGGGGAAGAGGAGGGAGCGATGGTGAGGTAGGTGACAGGACGAGGGTGTCGGATAGCATTGAAGAAGAGGGGGACAAGAAGGAGAGATGAGGGAGAAAACGAGGAAGTGTAGAAAGAAGAGGAAGAAGAGGAGGAGAAGCAGGAAGAGGAGAAGCAGGAAGAGGAGAAGCAGGAGGTTGAGGGATGAAGGAGAAGGAGAAGGAGGAGGAGGAGGAGGAGGAGGAGGAGGAGGAGGAGGTGGTGGTGGTGGTGGTTGAGGAGGAGGAGGAGGGGAGTCAAACCTTGGCTCATCATTTTCTTGAGGTGACTCACTCGTTTTCTCGCCTGCACTCCTCGCACCCACGCCTGCAGCTTGGTGATAGTCGCCATGATCGCAACAGATTTGGACATATCCAGGTTCCTCAGCATCGTCTGGATCTTGGCAAACTCAACCTGCCGCAGAATTGCTTCCGCCGCATCCCTCAGCTTGCTGTTGGGCCATGATCGGCGGTTCAGCCGCGCCTGCTCGCTGATGTCCCTAAGGCGGGAGTAGCGGAGGCGGATGGCGGCGATATGGTCCTTAAGGAAGCCCTTGATGTTGCGAGAGAGCGCTCGCTCGCGCGCGATGTTCTGGTTCTTGATTTGAACGCTCCTCGTCTGCGAGCCTGTCAGAGGAGGAGAAGAAGCAAGACGAGGAGAAAGAGAAAAAGGAGATGATGATGATGATGATGATGATGATGATGATGATGATGATGATGATGATGATGGTGATGATGATGGTGGTGGTGGTGGTGGTGATGATGATGATGGCGGTGGTGGTGATGGTGGTGGTAGTGATGATGATGATGATGATGATAATGCGGAGGATGAGGAGGAGGTGGAGGAGGAGGAGAAGGCGATGGTAGTGGACGTGGAGGTGAACGTGGTATGGGAGATTTTGACAACAAGAGGAAGGGAGTAGATAGAGAGACGGAGGGACTTACGTGGAGCGTTATCAGGATGTTTGAGATCGTATCGCACAGCCGAACCCACACAGCAACATCGACCTTTCCCTGCTCTTTGCTGCCCTGCCCCCCTCCCTCCATTACTTTCATTAGCTTCTGCAGCTGGATCGATGTAACCATGACGTTCAAGTCCTTGTCCATCCCCGACAGCTTGCAGATGTCCTTTGCCATCTCCTGCAGCCTGGAGCACGACTTTGCTATGAGCTCCTCTATCCTCGCCAGCGCCTCCTGCTTCCTCCTCTCCCCTTCCACGGCTTGTTCAAGTTGAGCCGTCAGCTCCTGGTGCGCTGCGTTGCTCCTCCTGGCCTCGTTGAGCGACTCGACGCTGACTTGGAGGTCGTGGAGCTCAACCTGTGCAAACAGAATGAGACGAGGGAAATTACGCTGCTGGTGCTGGTATTGGTGATGGTGGTGGTGATGATGATGATTGTGGTGGTTGTGGTGATGGAAATCTCTTTTGGCTCAAATGTCTTTCTGTTCCTTCCTGTTTCATCACCTCCTCTACTTCCCGATTGCCCTAACTCATTCAAACTCCTCTCTTTCCCTTCCTCCTCCTCCTCCCCCTCCTTCTCTCCTCCTCCTCTACGTCCTCTCAACCTTCACCTCTCAACTTCCTCCTTCTTTCTCACCTTGAGCGTGTTAAGCACAATCTTCTTTTCTTTGATCGTCTCCTCGTTGCTTCGGATCCTCTCCTCCGCTGCTGCTCTGGTTGTGAACAAGTTTGCAAACCTTGCGACGATCTCCGGGAGATTTTGCTGCAGCTTCTCAACAATCTCGTCGCTCAGCATGTCCATCCCTGGGTCCTTCCGCGGGCTACGAGCTAGTCAGAGAATGGCAGGGAGAAAGAGGAAGAGTAGGAGGAGAGGTAGGATGAGAGGTGAGACTGAGAGAGGAGGGTAGAATGATAGGAGGAGAGGAGAGGAGAGGAGAGGAGAGGAGAGGAGAGGAGAGGAGAGGAGAGGAGAGGAGAGGAGAGGAGAGGAGAGGAGAGGAGAGGAGAGGAGAGGAGAGGAGAGGAGAGGAGAATGAGGGGGAGGAAACCAGGGGCATACCTCAAGGATCGCTTGGAGCCATCAACGTCCCTGGTGCTGGTGCTGCTCCTCAACCCGAGGAGGATCATAGCGACCTGAGTGTAGTAGGGGAGCCGCTGCAGCAACTTGCTGTCCTGCATAGAGTCTATCATGAACTGCCTGTGCTCGCGCTTTTGTTTCTCGTCGAACTCCTTGAGCTTCTTGATCTTGGCAAGATTCTCTTTCCTCTCCTCCTGCAGGACTTGTGACATCCTCCTCGCCTTCTCTCTGAACTGAGATCTCCTCTCCAGCGCCGCTGCGCGCAGGTCGTCAGCATGGCGGACAATCTAGGGACGGGAGGGAGATGCAGGGAGGAAGAGACAGAACAAGCGAACAAGCAAGAGGAAGCGGATCTGTGGTTGCGGTAGAAGCAAGAGGAGAAAGACGAGGAGCAGAAGCAAGGGGAGGAGGAGGAGGAGAAGAAGAATGAGACAGAATAGCGGGAGCAGCAGCAGTAATGATAGGAGGAGGAGGAGGAGGAGGAGGAGGAGGAGGAGGAGGAGGAATGAGACAGGGATCTACAGCAGACCTGTCCTTATGTTCTCGCACTGCTTCACATTCAGCTTATGGACCCGGTCGAGCTGCTCAAAGCTGTGAGCTGCCTCGATCTGGGCTTCGTCCAGCAGCTTCACTAGCAAAGGGATGTCCTGAAACACGGCCGACAGCTCCTCCTCCTTCTCGTGCACCAGCCTCTCCGTCTCTTCGTGCTCGTACCGCACCCGCCGGAGCAGCCGCTGCAGCTGCAAGTTGTAGTGCCTCTGCCGCATGAACAACATCCGCTGCTCCTCGATCTCTGCGCTGATCTTGTCATGGACGGGGGTCGCGGACAGGTCCGCCTTCTTGGCGAGCATGTCGTCGAGGTACTTCTTGTTGTTCCTCACCACCTCCAACCTCTTCATCCTCTCCGCCCTCTGCCAGCTCGACTTCTGCGCCTCCGACCTCAGACGATGCACGAGCTCGTGAAAGTGATCCAGCGCAAGCTGCTCGCCGCTTTCAGTAGACAGAATCTCCTTGAGGAGCTCGGGGACTTCTTGGCGGAAGAGGGGGAGATCGTTGGACCAGCGATCCTCCTCTCCTTCTTGCACTTCCTGCTCATCGCTGTCGTTATGCTTCACTACATGCAGTCAGGGCATCTAGACCTCTTGTTCGTCAAATCCAGGTATCTTGGTCAGTTGCTTGTCGCTCGGTTTGGATGATCCGTTCTGGAGGCGCATGTGAGACAGCAAAAGAGTCACTACAGCTGTCATCTACATCTACATCTACATCATCATCAACAATATCTACATCATCATCAACATCAACATCATCAACAACAGCAGCAGCAGCAGCAGCAGCAGCAGCAGCAGCAACAACATCAACATTAACAATAATAATAACATTAACATCATCATCATCATCATCATCATCATCATCATCATCATCATCATCATCATCATATTTCAGTTTCAATCTACCTCCGTCGGTAATTGAATGCTGTCGACCTTGACAGCAGGAAAACCTCGCGGCCACATGGAGGGACATTGAGGCATGGGGGGAAGAGCAGCCCCTGGACGAAGACACGCTGAAGACAAAGTCAAGAGTGAGGAGGGCAGAGGAGTTGAGGAGCAAGGAGGAGGAGGAGGAGGAGGAGGAGAATCAGGAGGAGGAGGAGCGTAGAGAAAGTAGAGGAGGAGGAGGAGGAGGAGGAGGAAGGTAGAGGAGGAGGAGGAGCCAAGTTGAGATGAAGAAGGGGAAGAAAGAAGGAGTAGACGGGGCGGGCAGGTCGGGCAGGACGATGGAGGTGCTGTTGCCAAAGTACCTGGCAACGCATAGTCCGGGACATTGAGAGAAACATTATTTTGAAAGAACTGCGGTGAAGTGATGAAAAGGTTATACAGAAAGTGACTTGTTGTTGCTTACTTTGATAAGGTCCTCAAAAGAGCTTGTCGTCCTGTGCACCATTTCAACTCTTCTTCTTCACAAGTTTCATGTCGGTCACCTTTGAGTTTTCACTTTTTCGGGGACTGCACCCGTTGAAGGCAAGAAGAAAAACAAGTGAGCAAGTCAGGACGGAGAGGAAGGGCAGGGGCTACGAAGGTGAAGGCAGGAGAAACTTTTGCAGGAGAGAAGGCTAGAACGAGGCAAGGGGATGAAAAGAAGGAAATTGTGGATCCAAAGGATTGCAAGGAGGAAGAGGGAAGGATTTGGGGGGGAAGGGGAGAGGGAGCGGAAAGAGAACAGGCAGGGGAGGAGGGCAGCAGGAGGCGGTGGTGTGTGCGAGTGAGTCAGTGCGTGCGTGAGGGAGGGAGGGAGGGAGGGAGGGAGGGAGGGAGGGAGGGAGGGAGGGAGAGTGTAAGTGAAGGGAGGGGTAGGGTTCGGAAGGGAGGCCGGGAAGACAAGAAGGTGAACTCGAGCAGTTAAAGTGATCGTGCCATGCACTTACATGGGTTGACCGTGTTCTTCCCACGCTTTTTCCCGATGTTCCCTGTCATCATCAGCAACCAGCCGGCTCATTCTGCTGCATCACCTGACGTCGCCATGTTCAGCGTGTTCATCCACTTGTCAGCTACGGAATGATCCTGCAGCAAGATTTCGTCACGCCCTGTCAGATGCTTGTACATCGCACCAGCTCCGACGGCTCTGTCTCTATCCCCTGCTCCTCCTGCGATTCTGAGTCTTCCTCGTCATATTTCTGGCCTTTCGCGCCATCATGAAGGAACTCGGAGATGTCTCTCTCCTCGTCAAAGATCGCATTCAACGAGTGCTTGTTCGACTGCTGCATGTCACCAAGATCTTGTCAGCACTGCGAGGACAGCTCACCTCCTTCAACGACTCGTCCCCGTGCATCTCCTTGCTTGTGGAGGCGTTCTTGTCATTGAGAGAGGAGCTGAACCTCGAGCTCGATGACTTGCACGCTTCCAGGAAGCGAGTATGCCGTTGGATGGCGTCTCGAGTGACCTGGTTCAGACCTTGCAGTCTCTCTTGGTGCCTGCGATGCGAGGTGAGCACAAGTGGGAGGAAGGAGGGAGGAGGAGTCACTTCTTGCTCGGCAGCTCAGCATCGAGAGCGGGTGTGGACAGACGAAAAGTCTCCACCCTCCGCTTGCAAAACTGCGAAGAGCTGGTATCGACGGGGGTGCTGTTGCGGGAGAGGAGGAAGAGCGAGGGTGTGAGGCCAGCAGTCTGCGGCCTCCTCCGCGATGGCGGGGATGTGGATCGAGGACGGCCAGTCGCAAAGGAGAAGGCAGACGTTGTTGAGTTCATGCTCCTGTTCATCTCATACGAGAGAGCCGTCTGCGGTCTGGATGCATTCCAGCTGTCGCCTGTCACCTGCTCAAACGAAAGCTCCACTGGGCAGGACTGGACAGAGGATGCAGCGCTCATCCCTGACTTGGGGCGAGTGCTGCTCGTGGCACTCGTGCTCCTGTACCTCTTCTCGTCGTCCATACGCCGTCTCCACCTCATCGATCTCTTGTCTCCGTCAGTTCTTCTTTCTCCCTCTTCATCGCTCCACTTCGAGCTGAGGCTTCTGCTAGATCTTTCCACGAGCCGCCCATGGCTCCCTTCGCTCCCGAGCTTCCTGCCGCTTCCTCCCCTCTCCTCCTGCCCTCTAAGAGCCGCCATGAACCGCCGCGGCCTCGGAACAAGATCCCCCATCAACCCCGCCATGGCTCTACCGCTACGCCGTTAACAATCTGCCGTTCCCCGCAAGGCGGTTTGTCCCACAGTGCACTCCAGGTGCACTCAATCTTGACTGACGGTTACATTCAGATCGGCGGTTACGGCCCCCGGCACCGGGCAAGGCCCGGTCGCCGGCCCGGCAGTCGGGCCCGCTGAGTAAAATAACCGCCACCGGTCCTCCGCCGCTTCCGACCGACAGGCTGTTTTAAGTTGACTAAAAGTTTCACTCTCCTAGTACTGGTCATTCCCCCCTTTTTTTTACCGCAGTACCCTACCACCATTATTACTACACCCCTGCTACAGTTCGATTCGGAGTACCCCTGTATTTGCCTCTCAAAGTACCCCTGGTGTCCAAGAAGCGACCTGCCCCGTCCGGTCCCCGTTGTGACCCCATCTCTATAAAATAACACCTTCCCGCACTGCCGCTTCCATGAAGCTCCTCCCCAGACCTCTCCCTGCCGCTCCTCCTTCTGCTACATCTCCTCCTTCTCCCTCTCCTGCTCTGGATCTCATTCTTGCTTCCTCTTGGTGTACGCCTAACTCCTTCTCCTCTTGCCATAATCGCTACCATTGCCCAACGATCACCAATGCAACTCCTCACCATAACAAACGTGTTGCTTCCCTGCTACTTTCTACCTTGTTCAGCATCAACACATCTCCGATGTTTGCCTTTGCCAGCATTCTTACTTGATATCATCACATGTATTGAAACGCAAAATGTATCTTCTTCCAAGTGTCCTCACGACCATTTGCCTTAACCAAAGTGTTTGCGAAAAGCTTGTTGCACAGAATGTTTGAGGGTTGTGAAGCTTTGTGACGCGATGCCAACGAGAAAAACGAAAACCCTCATCAATGCTGATTACACGTACGTGCGCGCTTCCTCCTTCATCAACAAAGACGACTCATCAACCTGCCCAATGCCTTGAGATAACTCAGATCTTGATATTCGTACCTTTTAGCATGATTGTGAGGTGTGCGGTTGTCAACGCTCACTTGCCCCTCAGATTCAGGTTCATCCCGCCACATCGACCATGAAAGCCGTCTTGATCAAGTCGCTCGGCCTGATCCATGACTCAGACATCCTTGAGTTTGCCGATGACTTCGCCCGGCCGTCCAGGAAGAAAGGTCAGCTCCTCGTACGCGTCCTGACCTGCGCGACCAGCGCAGGAGATATGCACGTGATGAGCGGGCGAGTGTCGTTTGCCATCTCCCCGCCGTCGTTTCCCTACATTCCTGGCTCCTCCATTTGTGGCATCGTGGAGGAAGCAGACGCGGAAGCTGAGTTCAAGCCTGGCGACCGCGTCATCGGTCACATGGGGATGAAGCCCTGGGGAGCGCTGGCGGAGTATGCTGTGGTGGAGGCTACCAACTGCGTCCTCGCGCCAGACTCGCTGTCAGACGAGGTAGCGTCGGCGTGCGGGGACAGCGCCGCTACGGCCTTGAAGGCAGTTGAGCTAGCTGGAGTGAAGGCGGGGAGCCGAGTGCTGGTTCTGGGAGGGTCGGGAGGGGTTGGGTCGGTTTGTGTGCAGCTGGCAAGAGTAGCGGGAGCGACGTTTGTTGCCTCGACCTCGACGCAGGTGAAGATGCTGACGGAAGAGCTCAAGGTCGACCGGGCCATCAACTACAAGGAAGAGGACTGGTGGAGCATCGGCGAGTTCCAAGAGCAGCCGTTCGACTGCATCGTGGACTGTGTCGGGGGAGGAGGTCACTTCGGCAAGGCTCAGGAGAGCAAGGTCTTGAAGAGCGGAGGCGACGGAGGGAAGTTCATCGCAGTAGTGGGCGACGAGCCGGAGCCGACTATCCACAATCCTTTCCAGCTTGCGGGCTTCGCTAGCCGCCTGCTGTGGCGAGCGCTGTGGACCTGGCTCTGGCCCTGGTCACCTCGGTACATCGCCTTCGTGACCGATGCAGACTCGACAACCATCAAGACCATCCTGAGGCACGTGACTGAGGACAAGCTGCTGCTCAAGATTGATCCGTCGGGTCCTTATGCGTTCACCAAGGAAGGGGTGACGTCAGCTCTGAAGCTGCAGGAGTCACACAGGGCTCACGGGAAAGTTGTGATTCGAGTCAGCAAGAGATCGTAGATTTTGTCAGTATGATACTGTTTTAACCGTACCTCGGCTAATATGCCAGCACGACTCAGTCTCAGTGTGATAAAACCTGTCATAGTATTTTTGTTGTTTCTGGCCGCGTTCGATGTTCCACAAGTTCAACTTCGGTACATGGCCAGTGGCCAGTACGGTACTCCCGCCGTTAGCCCCCGCCTCGGGCTACGCCGGGGACTCCGGGAGTCAGTGCCCCCGCCGTTGAGTCTCCCGGAGTCCGCCGATGGCATGATCTAGTACGGTACCAGGCTCGTGACTCCCGCCAGCTGGGGCCGGGCTCGGCGCATCGTCGGCCTGGCAGTCCGATCAGTCAGTGCCCGGCCCCTCACCGTTCGTGCGCGGCGGCAGTGCCTTGGCGGCCTCGTCAGTACTCGGTGAGTCAGTCAAGTTGAACCGCCGGTTCAATGGTTGAACGGCGGCCATTATGCGATGTTCGGACGAATCATGAATCATCATGTGAATCAGTACCGGCCGTAGAGTACTACAGGCTACGTGACGCGGGGTAGTACGGTACTGAGTAGGCTGCACCGTCACTCACGGCTCGTCGCCGGACTCCGGGAGGCGCGGCCCGGGGCCGCGCCCGGCCGCTGAGTGGCCGCCCCACGGGCCGCGGTGTGACTCCGAGGCTCTCAGTTATGTGACTCCGATCTACTTGCCTAGCCGCTGCCCCCGAGCCGCTTTAGGCGCAGGTCACAGTAGTGTAGTGACAAGCGTGACCGCATGACAGACAGAGAAAAGCAGCAATGATCCTCTAGGGGGTCAACTAGCAAACTCCATAACTGATGTTTACTACAGGGCTTACGGCCACTTTGATTGTAAGGTATAATGTCAGCAAATGGCCTCCGTGTCAGCATGTTTCCCAAACGTTGTGTTTGAGGATATAGCCTCTGTGGAGTGATACCGATGGGGTGCTATTTAAGGGCCTTTCGCATTTGGATGTCATGCGGATGCTGACATGAGCGTGAGGGCCATAGAGTTCTGCCTCCTTGCTCCGCCTTTATCATCACTCCCTCCCTTACCCTGTCATTGCACACGCTTGCCACGCCTTTCCTACCGCGTCCTTGTCAGTAGCTAAATCCTACTCTGTTGCTCTTCCCGCAAACTCATTCAACACTGCTCAACAACCCTTTCCCGCTCCTTGGCATATCAGATGACGTGTGATATGTCATGCTTCTCGTCCTTGTCTGTCACCATCCACGACGTCAAATGGAGCTCACAGCCCTCACAGCAAGCTGACAAGATCAGATCTAAGTGCTTTCGCCTCTCTTCCGCTCAGCAAGCATACCTGCACCAGGCTGCCAGCATCGCGTCCATGTCAATCCGGAGCAGCCCGTCACGTGCTACCAAGCAAGATACAGCTTACAAGAACATAATGGCAGCACGAACCAAGGCTCAGGGCCTCATCATCTCGAAAACACGATGATATCGGGCATCTAAGGGATAACTTCTCCTTGGAGAGATTGAATGGTGTATTTTTTGTTATTGACTGGTCGTACGTTGTAAAAGTAAAAAGATTTTTGGACTCAACGTGTATGTGTGATGAGATAACAAGGGGCTGATACTCTCTGATAAAACTTTTCAATTTCTCAGAAAGTACTAGTACCTGTGTACACTCAGCCTCATGAAAGGCAATTTTCCCCTGGATGCCTCTAAAACACTTCAACGATCAGCTTATTTTGCATGAGTGAACTTTGGATATCGGTACAGATGCACGCTCATCTGATGCTGTTTTAAATTCCTTCTAAATTGATGAGACAAATGAAACATGCCAACTTGAAGACATCTCGAAGTATCTTTTTTTCTTTTTTTGGCCTGTGCTGTCATGATTTGTTCCTCTGGCAGATAAGGATAGCATTGTCGACTCCTGATTTCAAAGAGGAAGACCCAATTTTGCACAGAATATAATGTTTCCTTTTCTTCAAACTGCACTTTCACGACACGACTCATAATCAGGGTGATAAACAAATTACTTCAAACCACGTCTCAATACCCGCAGAGTCAGCCATGGGCAGTTTTCGAGTGCTCCACAAGGACGCCAGAACCTCCCCAAACTCGATCTGAGCTCTGTACACTATTCAATGCATGTCTGTCATGTTAACTCACCACATGGCTACTTGCCAAGTAATCAGAACCAAGATTCATTATCATCCCTCAGGCTAACAACCAACGATACATACTCCTCTTCACTCAAAGGCAAACAAACATTAACAGCTCTCATCGAAACTTTCCGTTTCAGCGCTCTCTCAAACTCCAGAGACTCTTTATCTTTGTCTTGTCCCTCGTCCGGACTCGTCAACCTAGGCAAGGCAGACCTGTCCGAGTCTTCGCCCAGCACCTTGGGAACGAATACCTTCCAAGTGCCAGAGCAGTCCGGCCGCAGCACAGGGATGGGCATTCTGAGGTAACGGAGCAGCCGTTCCCTGGCATCGGTCTTCTCGTCCTCGGACTGGGTCCATTCACAGAGCAGCTGGGGCCACCTCGTCTCCAGCTCGGAGAACTTGAGGAGGTTCTGAAACTTACTCGTCACCTCCAGCTCAGACGACAAGAACGACAAGGGAGAGCGGGCTTCAAGGGCTCGCTCTTCGTCAGTCTGATCCTCTGAGGAGTCCGCTGCGAGCGGGTCCGTGACCTCAGCGCATGCCTCATCTTCGTTACCGTTGTCATCGTCGATGACGACAGGCGGACTTGCAGAGTCCTGACGGCCACCACCAGGCTCACCGTTGCTAAGTTGCAGCTCCTGCCTGTCAAGAAGAGTGACACCTCCAAGGCGAACCGTTGGGCTCTCATATCCGAGGCCACGATGGGTCCAGGCGAGCCCTGCGATGGGCGTCCAGCTACTGTGAGCAGGGTGCTTGGGATGGAATTTGACGATCTCGGTCAGTCTCTTGCGCCCTCCTCTGCGACTGGCATCGCCTTGTGCCTCTTGCTCTAGAGTCTTTGCTCCGACTGTGGCGTAACTTGCCATCAACTCATGCTGTCTGTACCACAGCCGCTCTTTAGTTGCTCATCTCACTTCCTCTAGGGTTCTCTCAACCTTGCGCTCCTCGTCTTTGCTCTTCTCCTCCATAAACTCTGGGTTATAGGCTGGCTGATTTAAATCCGCAGTGACCTTGATAAATCCCAAGAGGCTCGGCCCTCGCCATGGCTGGTTTGCTCTCTTGTTCAACAAAACTCTCTCGTGCAGTCCCACCACCTCTCGACCCTCACCCTGCATGAACAGGCGGACAAGGTTTGCATACGCCTGCTGCAGTGCTGGCAGCAGCACAGATCGCTTGCATTTTCCACTACCGAACAGCTCGATGTAGGCTCTGAATGCCAAAAGGCGGATGTATACTTTGACTTGATGTGGCTTGATGGTTTTTAGCGTATCATGACGGAGAGACAGGAGCGATTCTTGAACCTCGGAGAAATGGTAGGAGCTGCCGGACAGAGCTGGCAAGGGCGGAGGAAGCTCCGGGCCCGAGGACTTGCGATACAGCAGGGGAGTGAAATGTCACCTGAACCTACATTAGAGGCAGTTTGAACTCTCCTCAACGCTTGTTCGATCTCTTTGCATGAGTAACTGGATGAATTTGTGTGTCAGATCATCAAATCAAAGTGAACTCTTTGTATTAGAATTCACTCAAACACTCTGTTGTCAATGATTCTCATAGTTCGATTTGAGTGCAGCAATCCCGGCCGAAAAAAACGCCACGGCAATCTGCCGAAAGTTATTGTCCGCAGCATTGATGACCACTTACCTGCAGGATTTGAAATACTCGTCAGAGAATTTACGATCTCTTGCTGACTCGAATCACAACTTTCCCGTGAGCCCTGTGTGACTCCTGCAGCTTCAGAGCTGACGTCACCCCTTCCTTGGTGAACGCATAAGGACCCGACGGATCAATCTTGAGCAGCAGCTTGTCCTCAGTCACGTGCCTTAGGATGGTCTTGGTGGTTGTCGAGTCCCCATCAGCCACGAAGGAGATGTACCGAGGTGACCAGGGCCAGAGCCAGGTCCACAGCGCTCGCCACAGCAGGCGGCTAGCGAAGCCCGCAAGCTGGAAAGGATTGTGGATGGTCGGCTCCGGCTCGTCGCCCACTACTGCGATGAACTTCCCTCCGTCGCCTCCGCTCTTCAAGACCTTGCTCTCCTGAGCCTTGCCGAAGTGATCTCCTCCCCCGACACAGTCCACGATGCAGTCGAACGGCTGCTCTTGGAACTCGCCGATGCTCCACCAGTCCTCTTCATTGTAGTTGATGGCCCGGTCGACCTTGAGCTCTTCCGTCAGCATCTTCACCTGCGTCGAGGTCGAGGCAACAAACGTCGCTCCCGCTACTCTTGCCAGCTGCACACAAACCGACCCAACCCCTCCCGACCCTCCCAGAACCAGCACTCGGCTCCCCGCCTTCACTCCAGCTAGCTCAACTGCCTTCAAGGCCGTAGCGGCGCTGTCCCCGCACGCCGACGCTACCTCGTCTGACAGCGAGTCTGGCGCGAGGACGCAGTTGGTAGCCTCCACCACAGCATACTCCGCCAGCGCTCCCCAGGGCTTCATCCCCATGTGACCGATGACGCGGTCGCCAGGCTTGAACTCAGCTTCCGCGTCTGCTTCCTCCACGATGCCACAAATGGTGTGGCCAGGAATGTAGGGAAACGACGGCGGGGAGATGGCAAACGACACTCGCCCGCTCATCACGTGCATATCTCCTGCGCTGGTCGCGCAGGTCAGGACGCGTACAAGGAGCTGACCTTTCTTCCTGGACGGCCGGGCGAAGTCATCGGCAAACTCAAGGATGTCTGAGTCATGGATCAGGCCGAGCGACTTGATCAAGACGGCTTTCATGGTCGATGTGGCGGGATGAACCTGAATCTGAGGGGCAAGTGAGCGTTGACAACCGCACACCTCACAATCATGCTAAAAGGTACGAATGTCAAGATCTGAGTTATCTCAAGGCATTGGGCAGGTTGATGAGTCATCTTTGTTGATGAAGGAGGAAGCGAGCACGTACGTGTCATCAGCATTGATGAGGTTTTCGTTTTCCTCGTTGGCATCGTGTCACAAAGCTTCACAACCCTCAATCATTCTGTGCAACAAGCTGTTCGCAAACACTGTGGTTTAAGGCAAATGGTCGTGAGGACACTTGAAAGAAGATACATTTTGCGTTTCAATGCATGCGATGATATCAAGTAAGAAAGCTGGCAAAGGCAAACATCGGAGATGTGTTGATGCTGCACAAGGCAGAAAGCAGCAGGGAAGCAACACGTCTGTTATGGTGAGGAGTTGCATTGGTGATCGTTGGGCAATGGTAGCGATTATGGCAAGAGGAGAAGGAGTTAGGCGTACACCAAGAGGAAACAAGAATAAGATCCAGAGCAGGAGAGGGAGAAGGAGGAGATGTAGCAGAAGGAGGAGCGGCAGGGAGAGGTCTGGGGAGGAGCTTCATGGAGGCGGCAGTTCAGGGTTTTTTTTTTGGGACCGGACAGGACAGGTCCGAGGGTCGCTTCTAGAACACCAGGGGTACTTTGATAGGGAAATGCAGGGGTACTCAAAGCCGATCGGTATCTGGGGAGCAGTAGTGTACTGTGGTAAATGACCAGTACAGTACTACCGTAGTAGCGCGGAGAGTGAAACTTTTAGTCTACTGTGATTCGTCGGGAGTCACTGGCACGATTGTCCTCGTACTGCTTTTTAACTTAACTTTGAGTGAATATTTTAAGAGGCACAAAGAGTCGCCCGGCTTGCCGGCCTGGCACTGCCCGGCCGGCAGCCGCCAACTGAGTTCGGCCTCCGCTCCGAGTCGGAGAGGCCGCGCCGCGTCCGGCGAGCCTGGGCTCCGAGGCTCCGACACAGTGAGTCTTTCAGGCCGGGCAGCCTGAGTCACTTGACAGTCCGACGGTCGGAAACTTCCGACGCGGGCGCCCCGGCTCAGCGGCCCGGGCCGGCGCGACCCCCGGGCCGCGTATCCGTGGCACCGTGGCACCGTGACAGGCTGAGGGCGGCGCCGCAAGGGCCCGGGCATTCAATGATTCACCTAAGTTTCAGCCCAGCCCTTTACCGTCAAAGTTAAGTTAGAAATCATCAGGAGAGTCGAGGAGGCTTGACCCGGCTGATCGGACACTGTCGCGGCACAGAGCCTCGGAGGAGAATAGACAGCGAGAACCAAACCCAATCCTGCCGACTGCTGTCCCCCAAACTTAACTGACAGTGAGTCAGCCGCCCGGCCCACTGCGCGGCAGCCCGGGCCTGCGGGCCGCGTGACTGTACGGTCCGAGTGAAACCGGTGACCTGAAACGCACTGACAGGGCCCGGCCGAGCCCGGCCCCGCCAATACTGAGTACGGGTCATTTTCAGCCTCAAACCGACCCCTTCCTAGCCCCATCGATTTCAACAGCCCGGGACCGGCCCTACTGCTTGCTATCCCCTTGGCATGCCTTCAATTTGAGCAGCGCTCAGCGGCTGTTAGACATGGACGCTATCAACTGAACACTCCTGCTCCTCCCTCCTCTCATTCCCCTTGCTCTGCTCACACTGTTCCGTTCTCCCTCAGGCTCCCTCCTTAAGCTGTGTACAGGCTCAGTCAATCAGGCATTGTGAGCCGATACAAAGTTCAAACCTGAGCTCTGGTCGGACAAACTGGGGAGGAGCGGCGAGCTGACATGCTGCAAGACGGATAAGAGGACATAAAGGCAGACAAGAGATAACCTGAAGCTCTCAGACGGAAAAGTAGACTCAGAAGTACATCCTGGCTGAACTTCTCTTTGTTGTCGTTGCAGTTGGAAGGGACTGGAGAGGGGACGAGGGTCTATCAGAGAGGAAGCGACATCGATTGATATTGGCAGTCTACATCAGAAGCGAACTTGTTACGATGACATCGGAGACGGTGATATCTTACCTTTAATGAGCGAACAACCCCTCAGCGACTGATGCGTTCCCTTCCTTCTTCTCCCCTGTCAACATCCCTCCCTCTCTCGTTGTATCCTCATCTTTTCTCTCCCCCTGACTCCTCCCTCGCTCTCTCCACCTCCCTCCTCAACCTCCTCAACCTCCTTCCCTCCCCCCTCAACCTCCTCCCCTCCTTCCTCTTCGCAGGCGAGCACCTTGGTGTCCGCGCACTCTCGATCGAACTCCACCGCGAGCATGGACGAGGATCTTGACCCCTCGAGGTGCCTTCTGCTGGCTGCGCGAATGAGCTCACGGCAGATGCAGGCAAGGAAACCCCGGGCTGTCGCAGGTGGGCTGGTCAAGTTATGCCTCTTCCACCAGCTTCCTGATCAATAAGGTTGCTGCTGCTTCTGCTGCTTCTGCTGCTGCTCCTGCTTCTGCTGCTGCTGCTGCTGCTGCTGCTGCTGCTGCTGCTGCTTCTGCTGCTGCTGCTGCTGCTGCTGAACCTGCTGCAGCGATCAGTCTTTATGCCCCTGTGGGTCTTCTTGGACATTCCTGCCTCTTCTCTTGCGGTACGACTTGCTCCTGCTCGGGGCTCAGTGTCTTGCTCATGGCAGCTACAGGCGAGGGCGTGGTCGACAATTCTCTCCCTAATCATCACGCTCAGTTGCGTCTCCTTTGTCACGCAGTCGCTACCCCAGTACTACTTCAGCACCAACCTCGCGTTTGACACCATCGAAGTCACGTGCATCGTCATCTTCACGGTCGAGTACACATTACGATGGATCACCTGCCCCTACGACGGTCAGTCTGAGCTGCTAGCAAGAGACTCGCGCTGACTCGCGTGCTCAGGGATGGAGTTCTCGTGGTCGGAGTACTTGAGAAGCAGGGCCAAGTTCATGGTGAAGGCGATGAACGTGGTCGACCTCGTCGCGATCCTCCCCTACTACATCGAGCTGGTTGTCAATTCCATCCTGGGCAGCTCCAGCAGCAACACGTCGATCTTGGTGGTGGCAAGGGTTGTTCGCATCACGAGGATCTTTCGACTGTTCAAGCTGGGCAAGAACTACGACGGGATAGAGATCTTGTTCTTGACCTTGAGGAAGAGCGGAGTATTCCTCTTCACTGTCGTGTTCCTCATCCTCCTCTTCCAAGTCCTCTTCGGCTCGCTCCTCTTCTTCTTCGAAGGAGGCTCCAACTGCGTCATCGCTTACGCCTGCACCGGCGGCGCTGACAGCGGGGTGGACTGCACAATCCTAGAGCTCCCTGATGGGTCGGTGATGGACATCCCTGCCCAGCAAGCGCGGATGAGCTACTGCATGCATCCCTGGGTCAACGATACCGCCCTGTGTTCCAACGATGGTCTAGTGGCTAACAACAGCAAGGCTGGGCAGTGTCAACAGGGCTCGACATGCGTCGACGTCGGCAACGTCTGCTTCTCAGGCTCCGAAATGCTCAGCGCCCTGCCCGTTGGGTCCAAAGTGAAGCTCAATTCCATCCCCATGTGCATGTGGTGGGCCCTCGTGACCATGTGAGCACTCGCCTGCTCGCCTGCTCGCCTGCTCGCCGGGGACGCTGACGATGTCCAGGTGCTGTGTGGGGTTCGGGGACGTGGTGCCTGAGACGTCCTACGGCAAGGTGCTGGGGTGTATCGCAGCTCTGACAGGGCTAGTGGTGCTGGCGATGCCCACGACGGTGCTAGGAGGGACGTTCTCTGACATCTACGAGGAATATTACAGGAGGAAGAACGAGAAGGAGGTAGGAGGGCGGTGGAGTGGAGGGCACGTGATGACTGTAGCAGACTGAGAGCGAGAATGAGAACGAGGACATACCCAAGGGGCTGAAGGGAACGAACAGCAAGCATCTCAATCGAATGATTGTGGCGAAGCAGCTGGCGCAGAAGAAAGGGCCGAAGATACCTCAAGAGTTGATAGCCAACATCATAGAAGACAACCCTGTAACTTCCCAGGAGAAGATCTTCCAGGCGTTCAAAGAGCTCGATATTGCCGTGGCCAGGAAGGTGCGCTGGTCCCTGCTGCTTTCTTGAGCTGGATGTTGATGGCCCTTAGGTGTTGTGGAGTGAGTTCAGGGCGGAGCTGCGGGAGAAGAGCCGGAGCAAGCTGCAGGAGGTGATGGAAGAGATGGAGCAGACATGACATGCCATTGCTGAGAGATCTCGAATATTTACAGCTGTTACATTAAATTGCTAAACCTTGCGATATATCTTCAGCTTCTCCACTGCTGCTTCTCGCAGGGCATCAAGAACCTCTTCGTTCACCGCGTCCTTACCCTTGTCCCCTTCCTCCATCACCCTGTCGCCTGCGCCCAGCTTAGGAAGGGGGAGGAACTGGCCAGGTTTGCCCGGAGCCTCCGCATCTACCCATAGATCAGACTCCAGTGGAAAGTGACTTGACTGGATGTGGCTACCAGGAAGCGGAGGAGCTCGGCACAACTGCTTCGACGTTACTCCCTGTCCGTTGACCCGCGGCGGAAGGACCCTCTTGCCTCCGATCTTGAGCTGGAAGCTGTCAGATACCCGAGAGCTGCACTTGCTCTCTACCTCGCTCTGATTGGAACACACACCAGTCTCACTCTGCAACACCATCGTCATCCAACGATCAACGATCGCTCCAGGCACCTGGCATGCGCTCCCATGCTCGCTCTCCGCGTCCTCTTGCCCCTGCTCGCTCGTCATGCAACACATGCTTCATCATCCTGCGCACCGGGTACTGCCTCGCTTGCACCACGTGCATGCCCGTCCCCTTGCGAGCGAGGCGCATGGAGGCCATCAGGTCCACCTGTTCGCCAAGTCAGTGCGAGGCAGGAGGAGTGGGGCATGACCTTGTTGTTGAGCTGATGCTTCTGGAGAGGGCTCAAGATCACTGCTCGCGGATTCTTCGCGCTCTTATGAGCTCCAGGAGGGCTGCAAGCAGCGACCTGTAAGGGGAGCTGGGAAGGCAGGAAGAGGCGCAGACCTGCTGGAGGGGCTGGCCCGGTGAGGCACCCCGGACTTGATATTCCTGAAGCACGTGAGGGGGGGAGAGCGAAGGCGAGAGCGCTTACTTGGAGTCTTCTTGAACTTCCTCCCTGTTCAGCGTCTTGTCTCTGCAAGAGAAGCTCAGCGTTGATCATGCGTTGAATGTAAAGTAAGTTGAGCTGACCTCTCATTTGCGCTGTTTGGCCTCCTGAGTCTGTTCCTAGCGGAGGAAACAGTCGGCGACCTCTCACTAGACCTCGAGCTGTTCGACTTCTTTTCCTCCGCTTTCTGTTGGTCAGGAGCAGGAGTCTCTTGCTTCAAACTCTGCTTATCTTCACTTCAGGCATGCATCCCTCAGTCTCATCTCCCCACCTTGGACTCGACAGCTTCATTGGCCTTCACCTTCGCTTCTCTCAGACCCGTTCACAACTGCAAACAGAGTCTCACCTCAACACATGCATCGAAGGCCCCGAAGAGCGTCCGGACGACAGGGTCCGAGGTTTCTTCTACAAGTACGTGTTAGTCCTAATCTCTCAACGAATGCTGGGATGTGGCAGAGGGCGTGGCAGCAGGTCAAAGTCGAGGGGAAGGTGGGGGAATGATGGTATACTCGTTTTCTCAGCTTGCAGGCAGTCATCGAACGCAAGCAGCAACGCCTGCACCACGTTTCTGAGCTCGCAGGATAGAGATCAACGGCCTCTACCTTGTTCACTTTTTCCGAGGGTTCCCCCGTGGGCGTTGGGCAGTCCACGTACGAGACAACCTCAGCTTGAGACTCCTGCAAGTCCACCGGTAAACTTCGCGCCTCGAGCTCTCCATTGCTCCTTCCCACCTGAGGGATAGGCATCTCTTCGAAGTCACACAGGAGGGAGTTCTATCAAGGAGGTCAGAACAAGTCCACCAGCGGGCAGGTCGGAACAACCCCCTCAATGAAAGACTCGTTGCTCTGTCCTCTCTGCGGGGAGTACCAAAGTTGTCCGCTGAGATCATGCTGAATGCTGTCGACGTTGTCAATGCTGATCATATCCTGAGCTCCCATGTCCTCGAGGATGAGCCCGACTTCATCCACATCTAGTCGGTCTTGCCTGCACCAGAATTCTTCAGTTTCTCTCAGGTACCATTGTGAGCCTCACTTGTTGTGATCGTCTGAGCTGCAAGATAGACAGATCGCGCAGTCCGAGGCCATCGAGGCAACTTCGTCTACCTGCAAATTCTGATTCTCAGAGCCGCAGGAGAATGACGGCAAGGTGTGAACCTTGGATGCTCTTCCCTCTCGAGGTCCAGACCTGAACCAGACGCATTCAGACATCGAGGGGCAAACCATCACAAGCATGTACAGAATCTTTTGGAGTGTTGTAACGAGCTTCTTGGAAGCAGGGTCATCGAGTTTAGAGTCAAGGATGTCAAAACGCTGGCTCGTAGGATCCTTATCCTCCTTCGCGCCTCTGTCGCCCTCTGCTTGCCAATCCACCTCTTCAACATCCAGGTCGAGGTGATCGCTCAAAATCTCTCTGTTTCAAGTGCATAAGGACTCCTTCGAGTTCTCATGGAAACTTCACCCAGCTGGAGGAATTTTGTGGCCTTCAGCCTTGTCAGCTTCTTTGCCTTGCGATTCCTGCATCACAACCATCAGCTAGCCCGAGTCTCAACACTATTTTTTACCAAAGATGAATCTGCTTCAAGAGCGGCAGGTGCAGGTTTGGGGGATCCACTGATTCAATCAGTCAGAATACAGCAGAAACAGGGATCAATGCTCGCACAGGAAAACTCGGTGCTCAAGGACTATCGGCACAGGAGAGCGTCCCCTCGGGCAACGCTCTTCCAAGCTGATGCAACCACGAGAGGTATGAGTATTGGAGAGGACCAGAAGTAATAGCGAGCTCATTCCGAACCTTATTGCTTCAACTTGCTCGCTCCCTCTCGCATCCTGTTGTTCATGATGCGGATCTGCATCCTGTTTGCCTGTCAGATACTAAGTGCAGCAGCACTGCTGCCGCTGACCTGGGCAGCTGGCTGATCCTGAGTGCCATCATCCTTGTACTACTACACGTCAGAAGCAAGAGGAGGTGCACAAGTTTCAAGGAACCAGGTCAAGGAGATTTCGACGAACGGCTTTTAGTGCTGATTTCTGCCCTGTTTTCTTGTCACAAAGCAGATCGTTGCCTCCACTTATTTGATCCCTTACCGATTATTCCATCCAAGACTTTCCCTCCTGTGGCAGCGTCCTCCGAGGTCAGGCCTTTATATTCTGAGCTGAACCATCGGGAGATTTCAGTAAAGACCCAACGAGAAAATGCTGGCGGGGGAACTGGCAACAAGCAGATTTCATACCTCAGCTCGTGTTCGACTGGACGACCTTTGTCTTGCACAACAGTCTTTGAGTTTGAGAGGAGGCGGATCTCGAAGTCAATCGACTTGATGTCTGTTGCAAGCTGCATTAACTGAGAGCGCTCACTCTCTATATCTTCTGACGGCGTGCTGGGCTTTGAAATGAACTCCATCATCCTTGCAGCAACACGAATGAGAAAGGAAAGTAGCCAAAAATTGTTGAGAACAGACCTGTTCTTCTTTGTGCGGTATTGCTTGCGGAGAAACTTTTTCATTCTCAGCAAGGCATTGAACTTCCAGTCTTGCTGCGAAGAGTCCAGGCCCTTTGGACTGAGTCTGCTGCCGTCGACCGTGTTGTCGCTAACACTGTCTTCCCTCATCAGCTTCTTCTGTGCAGACACCAGCAGCGAAATCTTCTGCAGCAGCCTCTGACGATTCTCCTTCTCAATCCTCAATGACGAGCTCATGTCCTGAGTATTGTGCAAGGTCAACGTCCTCTCGCTCTGCAAGAAACTAGCTTCGAGGTCCGCCACGAGCTGCTCGAGCTGTTGGTGAAAGTTACGACTGGGAGGGCTTCAGGTAGAAGAGACCTCGTTGAAAAATGAGGATGGAGTGTGCCTTGAGTGATCAGCGGCCGCTGCCATGGCGCGAAATGGTTCGGCCGTTGGTGACAATTCCAACATCTGTTATCCTACGACATGTTACAGGGGGTACGCATCTTGGGTGCAGCGAGATAGATCATATCCAGCAAATTAGGCAGATAAAAGCAAGAGAATGCGATGATTCGACGCATGGCTAGGGAGGAATAACGCGGATAGAAGAAAGTGAAAATCGCTTCAGAGGAGGGGAAGACCATTCGTGAAAGGTAAGGATGGATGAAAGCAACGCCACATCGTGTTGAATGAAGGAGAAACGCGGAAAGATGAGAATAGAGGCATATGAGAACATTCAAAGATGCCAGAGGCGAGAAGTTTGACAGGATGGAAAAATAATGAGAGGGAATTTAGGTAGGAAAGGAAAGAGCGAGGGAGGGAGAAGAGAGGGTTAGCACAAGAGGGAGGCACGAGTGGAAGGATAGAAAGAGGTAGCGAGGAAGTGAGACACATGGAGAGTGAGAGGAGGAGAGGGAGAGATAGTGAGAGGTCAGCGGCTGGTGGAGCATCAGCGCGTTTGTGTGCATGCGCGGGAAGCGAAATGGCAAATGCGCGGGATTCGAAAGATGTAGGTCATATCCGGTACCCCTGAAATGAAAGACAAAAAGAGGGGTACATGAAAACGTAGAACCCCTCCATAAACACTGAAAAACAGGGGTTGCTATGTGCCACCTAGACCCCATGTTTTCTATTAAATTGACTGATGGGGTAGGGTCATCATAACACCCGTCTAAATCAGGTGTGATTTTGGGGTGGTGACCTAGTCCCCTTCTCTTCCCTTCTGAGGACGGTTTTCCCGCCAATCGCCATGGCTCAGGTAAGGCAGCGGAAGGGGCGAAGATGGAAGAAGGCGCGAGGAAAACTCCGATATGCATGCGATGATGATGAGACATCTTCCATCATGCTAGACTCTCATCACACCCTCTCCTGGAACTTTGAGTACATGCAACCACTGTGCTCAATGCACCTAATTGTGAATCGAATGAACTGAGGCCTTGCGATTTGTTCATCCTTGGCCTGTTTTTCTCTCATTTTGTTTGTTGTATTTGGAATTGTACAGATATGAAATATGACCTTGTTTGCATGGTTTAGTCGTCTTGTGCTGAGGATGTTGCAGATACTAGCGGTCCCGATGCGCATACGCGAAGATGGCAGAGAGGAGCGGCGATCAGTCGTTTGCGTCTCAGTTTCTATTCAGCAAGACTCACAGAGCACGTCAACGCGTCAGCTTATGACCTTCCAGGTTGATGCGTTGATGTGCTCATGATGGTCAAGATGACGGCTGGTGCAGTTGACAGACGAGGCCGACTCCTTCTTCCTGTACACCCTCAGGATTTCGGAAGAAGAGTTCCAGAACGTGAAGAACGATCAGAGTATCTTGGTGGACTTTGCGGAGTTTCCCAACAAGTGAGCTCTGCAGTGTTCTCAAGCACACTCTTTGACCTGCGGTGCACAGATTCATGGAGCTACTAGAGTGTTGCCTGCAAAAGGATGAGGAGGAACCTCCGAAATTCACAGCGAGCTTGTTGGCGAGTGGAAACCAGGCATCACTCAACATAGTTGAGACCAACCAGTTCAAGAATCTGACGCACCTGAGGCTAGAGATGAGGTAGAGAGTCACAGTTTTCTTCCCTGCTGAATCTCCTTCAAGGCCAGGGAACGATCATGCCGTCAAGCAGTATTTGGCTGGCGAGCTCGCTAAAGTCAAGTACGCGAGGAACTCTCTCCTTGAGCAGGTGAAAAAGTCTTGTGACATGTGAAGAACGTAAAACCACAAATCAGCTGCGACAAGTCAACAACGAATTACAAGACAGGATGAAGGATGCGGACAAGAAGATCTCAGCGGGTGTGATTCCATCAACTTTCCTGTTCCTTTGTTCTGATCGAAAGAAATATCAGCGGAGGAAGATGCCAAGACTGCTCGCCAAGAACTCGGGGATCTGAAGTTAAGACATGCGTCAGATTGTGCGACGTTGCGTGAACAGGCCGTAAGCCTCCAGCAACAATTGCAGCAGCAGGTGGGAAATAGCAGCATTTTGGCCGGTGCTTGACTCCGTTTCAGTCTGATGCAGATAAGAGTGAGATGTCAAAGAAGTATCAGGATAAAGAACAGAGCTTGCAGAGACAGGCAATTCTGATGAGTGTGCAAATCGTACTTCTGAGACTTGTGCAGTTGGATGAATTGAGATTGAAGTATGACTCTATTTACGACGAAAAATCGAATTTGTTGTCAGCGAACAAGGATATGCAGGGCAAAATTGAGGTGAATTTAGTTGGATGTGCAGTTTGACGTCAATGACTCCTTTTATGATCAGAGTTTAGAGAACGAGGTCAAGATCTTGAGGTAATCCCAATATCTCTGCGCATGTTTTCGCGCATGTTTTCGCTTGGAACTTATTGGTGGTTGAAGGAATGAAATACAAAAACTGCGAGAAGAAAATATGGAACTTGATAGAAACAAGCATGAAATGACAAAGGAGCTGCATTCTAATGCTGTGAAATTATCGTCTCTGCAACAACAAGTGACCGACGGAGAATCTCTTGCTCAACAATTGAACAAGGTCAGGAAGTCTGCAGATGTTGCCTTATCTTGTTGTATTTGACTATTTGTTTTTATTTCAGCTTGTCGATTCTGCTCATGCACAAAAGTCTAACCTGGAAGAGACTCTGCGCATGGTCCGTGACCAGAACGCGAAACAGGAGGAGCAGATTCGCAACTATGGGGTGGAATTGAACAAGGCCAGCGAGAATGCAGAGAGACTGCAGAATGAACTCAAAACCATCAAAACCAAGCTGAAAGTGAAAACTGCTGTCGTGTTGCAACAAGAGCAGGTTCCCTACTTCATCAGTGTCGACAACACCTCACTTACATACCCCAAGGTGTTAGACGACAAGGAAAAATCTTTGCTTGATCAGCAACACCAGTGCAAATCGTTGGAACAAACAATTCTTGAGAAAGATGGAAGAATCGATATTCTCAATGCAAAATTGAAACAGGCAGAGTCACAACTGCAAGAGGTTCAGTTGAATGGGTTTCATGCTCGTCAATGACTTTGTACTTCAGGCCGAAAAGACTCTTGCGAGCAATCAGAATGTGATTGCGTGGCTGAACAAAGAAGTAAATCCCTTCTGCATGCTTCGAATCACGTACTAAACCATGCTTTCCCCAGATAAATGATGCCCAAATGAGCACCCGAGGTGCATTTAGGTACAGCTTTTTCTTTCCGTATCGCCCCTCCTTTGTCATTGTTGTGACTAGCTTGGTACAGTGCTTCAAATTTCAAACCGACTCTCCCACCTTCTGGACTGTCTTCTTCTCCTGGTCCCAGTCCTCCAGCTAGAGAGATATTCTCGTTTGACTTTGGTATGGCAGGTGCATACAATCCATCCAAGCCGCTGATCAGTAACCAAGAAGCTCACTCTCCAAAGTACCAGTTGAGGTTCATAGTGCACCGTCGTCAAGTTCTCCACTTACGCACTTTGTAGCTCTATGTCTATGACCGGAAACATTGCACCTTACCGCAATCCTGAGTCGTTTTCAAAGGGCAAAAGCTCCTACTTCAGGTATACCGAAGCACGCCTGCTTGCCTTGATTGATTCGTGTATCCTCAGCGATGAAGCATACTCGACCTCCAAGGCTGGCAACGCTCGACCGGACTCCTCCACCTTGTCATCTGGTGTCTCGAGCTTCACTTCTGCTGCCCGAGCCGAGACTCTCACGCCGCTGCGACACGTGGAGTACAAAGTTCAACAGCCTGTAATGGCTGAGTAGCCTACCGTACTTAGCGCGCGAGCTCAGAGCTCATATGACTAACACCATGTTCACTATTAATTGATGAAAAGTTTGTTTGACCGTACCGTATCATGTACTACGGTTTGTCCGGTGACTCGCTGCTTCACACAGAGTCACCTGGTTCCCGCCCTCCCCAGCAACGGGGGCCGTTGGACACCGTCACGGACGGTGGGCCGGGCGCTGTACGGCGGACTCAGGGCCTTCCGGAGTCCCGGACGAACTCAGCGGACTATGGCGTGTCAAGCCGCTGAGCCACCGCCTCTCAATGATCAGGCTCCGACCTCCCAGTCCTGATTCAGTGTCCTCAGTCCGACCGTCCGAGTGGCCGTACTGATATTTAATTAACTTAACTTTGAGTAAAGATAGCAGCAAGGATAAAAGGAATGGCTTGACCGGGCGCATTGAGGCCAGGGAAGGCGAGATGGCGGGAAGGGAGAGCCTGCTCCTGATGCAGCTCGTCATGCTGCTCGTGCTCCTGTCAGCTCATGGCACATCTGAACCTCATGTGGGGAAGCATGGCTATCAAGCCTTGAGGTGCGGCAGAGGAACCGGTCTTGCCTTGAGGGGAGGTGGCCAGGTAGCGAGTGGGGAGGAGCTGCATGGAAATGTTGTGGCGGCGGGGAATCATGGAGACGAACCTGAGGAGGAGGAATACATCCAAGGGAAGACTTTCTGGAGCTTTCCAGGAGAGAACTTCATGAACAACGCAACAGCACTCTATGCCACACAGGAGGAGGCCCACGTAACTCAAGAGATGAAGCTCATGTATGAAATCATGTACTCCAGTCAAGGTAAAGATGGGTAAAGATGCTGTGCCGACGGTAACTGTGCCGATGGCTTGTTCTGGCAGAGATCAACAAGAGCCTCGTCGACATGGAGGGAGCTGAAGACTGGCTGATCCAGCTGGACGCTTCCTGCACAAGGTTCATATCCAGCATGTGGTACCTAGCGGCAAAGAAGTTCGATGAGTTGGAGCTCGCACATGTCATGACGAGGTATTGCTTTGCCGGCTCTTCTGATCCTCAACCATGCTCTGGCAGGCCAACGTCCGTTCCATCTGTGAGTGCTTCAAAGAAGAACTTCCTCGCTGTCTTGGAGCACGTTCTCGACGCTGCCTCGGGCAAAGACTGCGAGGAAGAGCACGAGTGTTTTCTTGCTAAGCACCTCCTTCTGAGTAGCACAACAGACATGGCCATGGCTAACTTCCGTTGTCACCTCTACCATTTTCGCGCTGCATGGACAGAAAGCATGAAGAACGCAACTCACAGGGAGGACTTGATCCGGAGGGTGCAGAGCAAGGTCTTCAGTTTAGCCCTGGGAAAAGTCCTTGGCAGCTCAGGCGAGTCCCCTGTGGGCCGGAGCTCGTTCCAAGCTTTGCTGCTTGCTCTAAGAAACAGCTCCGGCTCTAGGGATGACAGCGAGCAGGCCTCGACCGCGAAGAGGAGGCTGAAAGGGCCGTTCGAACGAGCCGTCGACAGGATCTTTGACGCAGAGGATGCAACTTTCAAAGAGATGAGACAACGATGGGAACGAATCGTCAATCCTGACGGGAAGGGGTGAGTAGAAGCTGAATTTCCTTGAATCTCACTTGCATTGGTTTCTCCTCGGGAAAGGTCGTGAGAGTCCTTGGCAGGTATTGTCACTCTTCTCAGCCGCTTCCCCACCCTGTTGATCATTCCGATGAGGCCGAGCCAATTACTAAAACGAAGGCTACGGCCGGCTTGCATGCAGAGTGGTAGGGGGCCGCCGCGCGGCAGCCGGGCGGGGTCCCGGCGGGGTGCCCTGCCCGGCCGCCGGGCCGCGAGCGGCCTCCGACGGCGGACTCCCGGCTGGCAGGCTGCGGCCAAGGCAACCCGGCGAGGGCCGACTGACAGTGAGCTCTGGCAAGCCCAGACAATTCAGCTTCATCCACGATCTGGAGGAGAGCGAGAGGAACTTCGAAGAGGCTCAAGGACAACGCGGCGCGCCGCACGGAGTCCGATCGGATCGTATCATCCGATCATCGGGCACTGGCAGCCTGGCCTGACTCTCAGTCACGCCGGGTCGGGGGCGGCCCGGCCGGGCCGGGCCACTGAGCGGCAGCCGCTTTTGCAGTTACCAAACCGTTATCAATTTGCAACCCCCAATTTTATACGTAAAGGTCGGCGCTGATAATGGGGGGCTGTTTGGTCGTAACATGCAGCCAGCAAGTCAGAAGATGGTGAATGCGTGAAGAGAGATGTACGCAAGATGAAATATAGCTCTAGATCAGGACAATCTTACTTGCTCTCCTACACTCACTGCGTCATGAATAGCGAGTAGTGCTCAAACTGTTGTGTCGATTGCCGTTTCCTCTGCAGGTTCTGACTGTATGAAAGATACGAGAAATAGGAGCAACAGAATGGAAGATGGAGGATCTGCAGATTGAGAAACTTAGATCAGTAGGTGAAAAATGCGATCGTTCACGGAATCTTGAATCTTAGCTTTTCTAATTTTATTCCACATCGTTGACCTTCTCATAACTCTCAACTTCCTAGGATGGAAAAAACTCACGCTGTCGTCGCCCTCGTCCTTTTGGCTTCCATTGGATTGGTACAGTCCTTCTCTGTCAATGGTATAGAACGCTATGCTGATCCTCCATGCTGAAATCTTTACCTGAACAGCCCCGGCATTTGGGCTCAAGTCCTGCAACTTCGCCACCATGAAGTGCGAGCGGGTGATGATTGTAATGACTCTTGCTCTTGTAACAAGCTCGCAGTCAAGCCTGGTCCGGCCTCTCAGGATGGCTGATGAGCCGCTCTATGAGGACGATATCGACGCCCCACCCACAAAACCTGGGGTGAAGCAGGGCGGCATCAGCGACAGCATGCGAGCGAAGCTGCTCAAGGAGAACCAGGCGCTCGGTGGCGACCCTGATGCTGCGTGAGTGCATCCGATTTTTGTTCTAGCTGGGCTGCTGATGAGTGAACTTACCAGGTCTGTGAACTGGGCCGTCGTCTTCGCTGTGATCATTGGATCGCTTGCCGTCGTCGGCAACTTGTTTGGAGCCTTTTAATGTTCTTTAGCCTCTACCATGAGGGCCATTTTATTCTAAAGATGCCTTGCTTGTGGAGCCTCATTGTTGAATGGGCAGTGCCCCAGTATCAACATGAACCTTTTTGCGAACTGCTTCACCATGAAACTTCCGGCCCATGATCAGCAGGACTTGCTTATTACCAATACTTTTGATATATGTGGTGCACTCGATGCTTTCGGCTACAGGAACCAGCATTCCAGACCTGACAGCATTAAGGATCTTCGATCAACTCCTATGCGCATGGCTTTGGAAAAGCTTTCTAGCACAAAATGCGTTTTACTGAAATTGGCCATATGAGGATAAAATACAAGAAATAACTCTTTTGGTAGCCAGTCGACCAAAGAGAGGCGGCAGCTACCTCTACAACTATAAGAAGTGGGCTATGTTACAAGTCGGGTTGAAATTCCAAAAAGCACGCATGTCAAAACAGAAATCAGCATATCTTCGTATCTTCGTTAAATGCATTTAAGGGGCGTCGTCCATGTTAGCATCTTCCACAAACCATTTGATGAACGACTGCTCCAATGGAACATCCTCAAAATCTTTCAGCCCCTCAGCCACGTCGTTGTCATTGCTCTCCTGACTTGACCACGACTCAGTCCTCATTGTCGTATTGTCTGCGTCGGTCCGGGACCATTCTGAGGAGCTGTCGTTATCAAGTTCCTCGTCCTCTTGATCGTCTGCGTCAGGTGCTGACTTGACATGAAGCTCGATCTCAGGCGATGGCTCGTCATCCACCAACTTCCGTGTCGAGGCATGGGCTCTGTCCTTGCTCAATTCAGGCGGAGATGACGAGTTGATGTCAAATCTCGGGCGCTGCCTCGAATATGGCCATCTTGTCACTCCAAGTCGTCTACAAGCCTTCTTCATGGCAGTGAGAGAGATTCCCTGTTTGATTGTCAGTAACAAATTTCAGCAGAAGAACGTGACAGAATCTCACCAAGAGCTGGGCTGCTTCAACCTGTCTCAAGTGGAACAAATTCTTCACGTCCTCCAGGGAAAGACTTCTTGCAGTGTAAAGATCTCGTGCTTTAGCCTTCTTCTTTTGTGGAGATGAAAGATCGCTAGATGGGGATTCCGGTAGGGTTGAAACCAGGAAATTTTTGAAGGTACAAGATCCAGAGGATTGAGGTTCTTCTGTTGCTACACACATTCTTTCTGGAAGATACCGGCAAACTCGATGTTCAACAGTGTCGCTGGTGGAAACGAGAGGGAGGGAGGGGAGCGAAAAGTGACGGGAACGATATGCAGGGGCCGAGTATGCCGGGAGAGAACACAGGAACAAGTTGAGGGCAGCAGGAGCAAGTCAGCAGGGGAGAACCCCTTTATATATAGCTTCCCTCTCACCTTCCAAAGGCATCCCCGAAAACGAGGGTTTTCGGGAGCAGTACGCGAAATCACTCCTCTTCAACCGCTGGGAGGACGCGTCTCCTCGAAGATCTCAACGATTCGGAGTAGGCGCGCTCTTACGTCCTCTGGAGAGGTCGTACCAACCCCAACTTCTCCCCGAATTCTACGGCCCGGTACCCCTCCCCCCAATCTTGCCTACCCCTACCCCCCTAGGCAAGAACACGGCAGCTCATGGCCTTGTTTTGAGGGCCCTCTATCTTTCTGATCCATCTCACGATAAATATGGTACCCCCTCCCCCTCACTTGAGGGGAATAGCACCCCACCCCCTCAGCGCGAGGTCACCAACATCTCCCCGCTGACTTCATCTACGGCTGACCTTTTTTGCTTCAAGAAACCAAACTTGAAAGGTACTAGTGTCTAGTACCGGCATCTTTTAGTACTCAAAGTACCGACATGACCTTGCATGGCATGCATGATGTCCACAGCTGTCCAGACGAGAATCGATGATCACGCTCGTCACAGAGCGGCTCGGTGACCGGGCGTACCGTACGGTCACTCACCGTACCCGGTAGGGCCGCCGGACTCGGGAACCGTACTACTAGTCGGCCCGGGGCCAGTCACACTTCAGTTCACAGAGTCAAGTGTTACGCCGCCGGCCGGCGGTCGGAGTTTCGGATTCCGACGGCGGACCGTGCCCGTGAAGTTCCGCCGGCCCGGCCGAGGGCCCGGGCAGGGGCCGCCGGAGTTTCGGAGTTGGTTTGTATTAACTTTCAACTTTACTTTCACTCATCTTGGCAAACTTCGTTACTATCCGACAATTTACAGCTGAAAAATCCGTACCGGCGGAGTCCCGGATCCGGTGACTCTGACTCAGTCACCCGACGCCGGCACTGCGGCCTCCGGGAGTCCGGACCGTACTACGGGCACGGTACGGTACCACTCGGAGCCCGGGCTAGTACGGTGAGTCAAGTTCGGAGTTGGTTTGTATTAATTTTCAACTTTACTTTCACTCAACTTGGCAAAGTTAATTTACCGTTCAGAAAAATCCGGGACGGTACGGTGGCGAGTCTGACTCCGCCGCTCGCGAGGACCGTGAATTGAATGAGGGGGAGAGAAGACTCGCCGGCGTCGCACTGTCCGATCAACCAACGTCAACCGGCCTCATGACCTGCCGACCGATCGGACTGATGTCCTACAGTACCGTACCGTCGTACGGTACCGTAGTACGGTACTACTGATGCACTGGGCCGCGAGCCAGGGGCCGCCCGGAGTTTCGGAGTCGCCGTGCCCGGCCGGGAACTTTCGGAACTTTCGACAGTGCACCTTGCAATTTGCGATCATCAACTTAGTTTGCTCCTGAAACTTTTTAAGATCTCAAAGTTTGCGCATTGAGGTTCGAAGCGTTTCGAATTGCCAGATTGGTCAGGCCATGAGGTATCGTGACATGAAGGCTTCGTTGTCGTGGCCATCTCAGGGAGGGGTCCTTTCATCCCCTTCAGTACCGCACCCCACCTCTCCACGACATAGCGAAAGGCCACGATTTCGCTGTCTGTTTAAGAACATTTTAATTTCAAGGGCGTAATATGTCTCCGCTAAGGGGGCGGAGGGACGTATTTTGGGGGGTGGTTTGAAAGGGAAGGGGGAGGGTGCTCAGCGGCTGAGCTCGGTTATAAAAACCAATTAGGTGGACGAGCTGGCCAGGGAAGTAGTGAAGTCGGGCAGCACAGGAGCATGGACGCTACAACGGAGAGAAGATTCGTTGTCGGAACTGATGCTGGGATCAAGAAGGCAAACGTCCCTGCTCTGCGACTGGTATCGCGGGACAGATCTCTGAGCCTTTCGGAGGCAGCGAAGAAGCAGCTGCAGGCTCTTGGCGCAATCGACGACTTTGAGGGCAACGTGAATATCGAGTCTCCTTTTGATCTCAACGTCGACCACCGCAAGCGCAAAACGTTCAAGGACGAGGACGAAATGGCTTCCTGGATACAGGACATGTTTCTAGGATATAGGTCTCCGAACACATCTCCCAGGCGTTATTTGCACCATCTCGATCACCCCTCGGTGAAGTCCAGCGCAGAAAACCATACAAGGAGAACGGGAAAGGCTGGAAGAGAAGAAAAATCTTCTTCAAACGATATGTTTAGCGCTCCCGTGGCTGAAATTTTGAAAGGAACCCTGGAGATCCGTGACTCGATCGAGGCGGACAGGGGGATGAAGGTGCACTGTTCCCTCACCGCCGACGGCCTCCAGATCTCTTCGGCTGAAGAAGCGAAAGAGATGGGAAACTTGAAACTAGAAGAAACATTCGTGACGGTCTTTGAAGAGCATGAATGCCTGTTCATGCTCGGGACTAGGAGGTCCTCATTGCTTTCGAAGAACAAGACCCAGGAGAAGGACTGGATCTTCTTCGCGTGCGCCAACGAGCTTGAGAAGAAGGCATGGGTCAGGAACTTGCAAAACAGCGGATCAAGACTTTATCGAGGAAATGCAAAGGACATGTCTCGGATCAAGTAGTTGGAATATGTAGATTCCCCAACTATCTTACATTATTTTTCCTGTACTCATACTCTTACTGTTACCAAGTAAACTTCTACGCCATATGAACAGTGTGAAGAAAATCATCATTTCCCTGTACGGGATCGCCAAACATTCAGACGCTAATGCGGCAACCTTCTCAAGATACCTGACCTCGAGAAAGAAGGCTATGCAGCTTGAAAGCCTCTTGAGGCATCTACTATCAAACTCCGCTGATGACAGACTATCAAACTCCGCTGATGACTATCAAACTCCGCCGAGGAAGGTGCCACAGTAATGAAGAACCTTTTCGAATGTGCAAAACACAAATGATACATATTTTGAAGTATTGGCACAAAGAGTATTCGGAGAGATCGAAATAATTGTTTATTGTGCCACATTAGAATCTAAGGTGTGAAGTGTACACACGTGCTCATGAGAGACACGTTTCAAGTATATAACGCATTAGGCGTGATAAAAACATGTCACATCTGGCATGACAAAGACCTCTCTAGTCTAGGCTCTAGTTGAAACTTCCTTCCTGGCAGCGATCTGTCGACACTTTCGCAAGCATCGTCAGAGCTGATCTTCTTAGCAGGCTTCCTATGCACGTTCCTCAGCCATGCCATGCATCTCATCATGAATTTTTTTGACGCTCCTGCCTTGTCGCGCATGTGAGATTGCTTGCTCATCATTCAATCTCGTTCTCGTCTTGTCGTTGGATTGAGGACGAGCGCCCGTTTCTTTGACGAGAGAATAATGGAGGCGTGAATGAGGGATGGAAGGAGCAGGGATCAGGTGGAAGGATCAGGAGGAAGGATCAGGAACAGCAGCAGGAGCAGCAGGAGCAGCAGGAGAAGGGGTTGGCAGAGGGATAGGGTCTCGTGCTTATAACAGGTCACATTTGCCTCCTTGGCGAGATATACCCCACCCTAATTCTTGAGTACCCACCCTTAATGTACACAGAAATTTGATGTAAAATTCACCCCATTTCTTCTACCCCTACCACCTCAATGGATTTGAAACTGAGGGTCGGGAGGTTGAGGCTGCTTGAGGTGAGAAGGGACGAGGCTGCGACCGTTGAAGGAGTCGAAGGCGAAGGGTGAGGAGATGAAGAGGGCAGGGAGAGGGAGGTGAACTCGTCTCCTTTCAGTATCACTCCGCGTTGCAGCGTCGCTACTCAGGTCGAATTACACGTAACTTGCAGGGGTCAACGATCTAGTCACGGTAGCGAAAACTCCGTCGCGGCGGCCCAGCCGGCCTGCGGCGGCCCCGGCGACTGGTGACGTCGGCGGACGGTACAGTGAGCTGTCATGTGCTGTGAGCTCACTGGCGGCCAGCGCTCTGCGAGCTGGCCCAGAGCGACTGGAAGTACTGGAGGCTATCAAACCCTCTCCTGGTCAGGCGAGCCGCCTGCTCCTTCACGTTCTCGTACGTCTGGTTGAGCTCCTCGATGTCCTGCCAGTCCTTCAGCTCTCCTGCCCACCTCTCAACTTTGAAGCTTTCACACGCCTTTGGAGGATGCTCCACCAGCCTCAACGCGTCCTGAGTAGAAGGGGTCGCGTCCCCGCAGCAGCGCCTGGTGACCTCGTAGGACCGCTTCAAAGCCTCCTGGGCTCCAGCTTGGTTCTTCCTCGACAACCGCAGCTGCGTGCACCAAGTTAGAGGTCGCGCGCTCTCCTCCTACCGTTGACCTGGGCCACGTTGTCCCACCAGATCGCCTTGGTCGGATGAAACTTTGGGAGGACCTTTGAGGCTGTCAGAGCTACCAGAGGGATTAGGATGGAACGGGCCTGATCCGCCCCCTTCAGGACCCTCAGCCATATCTCCTCTGCGCTTCCATCCGCAACTGCCTAGGAGAACGTCAGTTTCGAAAGAGGTGATTAACATCATTGTTGTCAACAATTGTTCTTATCATCGTTGCCATCGTGCATGATATCAACACCACCCTTGTACAATCATCATCGTCACCATCTGTATCAATATCTCGATCGCGCACATCTGAACTCTCTATCAGCACCTCCTCGTCCTTAGCGTACACACTCCCAAGCTCTCGCAGAGCCTCCAACACAATATGGTGCGTCTCGTGAAACACGTCATGCTGTAGCACAAGTCAAGGAAGATGAGGAGAAGGAGAAGAGGATACTTCAAGGATCTCCTCTACTTCTTCCAAGTCCTGCAAACAGCAGCCACAATGTCAGTCACCATGCCGCTACCAGCTCAACCCCTCTCAGCTACCTCAGGCCCTTCCTCCATCAAGGCTTTCTCAATCTCAAGGAACCTCTAGCAACGGGGATGTCAGAACACAACATTCTTGATTGCCGGTCAAAAATTTCAGCACCTTCCTGGACTTTTTGTCCAGTTGAGACTTGCACTTTTCACAGACCCAATCACTGGGTTTGGAGCCCTCGCCCAATGGGCACACCTGGCGTCCATCGTTCAGTCTGAGTTGTCAGAACTTACATCTTGTCCTCTACCTTCCCCTTGCACTGTTTCACCGGGCAGATGAAAGCCCTCATCACATCCGGCAAGGTAGTGCAGCGCGGGCAAAGACACAGGAAGTCATAGGAGTCCTTCAAGAGCTTTCTGCAAGGCGAATCAGACCCAAGGAACTCAGGGCAACAGGGATGGAAAACCTCCGGACGGCCGTGGGCTCGAAGGTGGAGTCGTTATAGTCTATCGACAGGCTTTCACCCTTCTTGATGGAATTCTACCAACAAGGCAGAGTCAGGTGGAGAAATAGGCTGGAGTGAGATCCCTATCGGGCAGAGCAAAACGAAAATGATAAGAGAGGAGATGCGAAGAAATGGCTCTTGAGTAGATGGACTTCAAGAGAAGGAGAATGAGAAGAAGAAGGAAAAGGAGAAGAATGAGGGGGAGGAGGAGGGGGAGGAGGAGGGGGAGGAGGAGGAGGAGGAGGAGGAGAGGAGAAGGATCAGGAGTGGAATCATCGATATTACCAGCGCTGTTACCCAGAGTTGAGTTCCATAGGTGGAGAAGTTGCAGTTCGGTGCGCAGCTGTGCTCCATCAAGCACCCCAGCAGGAACAGCCCGCTGCCCCCCCACTCCCCCAGCTCGTGGGAGTTGGTGTTGAGGATCGAGAGCATCCTAGCTGCATCCTCGTCCGAGACAGTCGGGGGGATGATCGCCTTGGCCACTTTGTGCTTCCTGACAGCACTGACCGCCTTCCTGCAGCTCTCCATGTTCGCAGCTGTGCAAGGGCTCAGGTGGACCATCACTGCTGGGTCTGAGCTGGACTTGCTCAGGAGCTTGATGAACCTCCTCGCGCTGTCTAGCTCTTCGATGCTCTCGAGGCCCTCCAGGAACCTTTCGATCTCCTCCATGTTGGCAGCGACTGCAGGGGGGTACTTGTGCTGGACCCTGCTGCACTCGGAGCTGCGGTGGGGCTCGTGGCATTCGATGCAGCGGTGCGCGTGCCAAGAGGCAGCGACGAGCGGCTCCTCCTCGAGAATGATCTCTCCTGCCTCGATGTCCCTCGCCGCCACCATGATCCTGCCTTTCACCGGGCAATGGCCGACGTGCCATGCCAGCGATGAGTTATGGGGTTGATGCTTGCTCTTGGACATGTGGCGAGCGGTCCCATGTGCCTTCCCCCCTTTCCCATCCCCTTCATGAGCATCTTGCGGCTGATACGTCTCCTCCTTATCTTTCTCGCGCTTCTTCTTCCCTTTCTTCCCCTCCTGATCCCTCGCCCTCGCGCCTCCCTTCTCCCTCACTTCCTTCACGCCCTGCCCTTCTCCTCCTTGCTTCAGCTTCTCCTTGTTCTCCTTCTCGTCCCTCCTCCTCTTCTCTTCGATCACTCTCCGCCAGTACTCCTCCTCCTCCCGCTCCTTCACCACGTTCTCCCTGATCCGCTTCTTGCAGCCCAGCCCGCGTTTCCCCATTATCGGGGGCTGATGGGACAGTACCCCTCCTTGTTTAGTACCCCCTGTCTTCAGGTAATAAATACCCCTCCAATCGTTCAGCCCTCATCCCCAGTCAAGTTCACGTGCGATGGAGGATGATGAGCCTGAGGTAAGGGAGGAGGAGGAGGAGCAGCAGGAGGAGGAGCAGCAGGAGCAGGAGTAGGAGCAGGAGCAGGAGGAGCAAGAGCTGGAGCTGGAGTAGGAGCAGGAGCAAGAGGAGCAGGAGGAGGAGCAGGAGGAGGAGCAGGAGGAGGAAAGGGCTAGGAGCATGAGAGGTTGTGGCAAGGGTAGGGTTGAAAACGAGGGTTCTGTTGATGAAGCGACGATCTAGCGTCGGGAGCAATGACATTAGCAAGTATTATAGCATAGATGAAGAAGGGTATTGCAAAGCCTCTTATTCTAGCAAGAATCTCATGGTAATGGTGATACTAATGTAACGAAAGGAAAGTGAGCAAGTAGCAGTTGGTTTGTTGGGCTGACCTGGGTCTCACAGCTGACGAGGGAGGATCGGTCGTTCTTCAAGAAGAACAAGCATGGAGCTTCTTCGTTCCTTTTCAACAGCAGCCTTGATGAGCTGGGGGAACAGACCAAGGGGAAGAACCAGAAGAAGAAGAAGAAGGAGCTTGACAAAGAGAACGATGCGCCCGTAAAGGCGAGCAGGGAGGAGAAGGACTACGAGAGCAAACCGAGACAGAGCAAGCACTGGGAGGAAGAGGCGGAGAAGGAGAGGAAGGAAGGGCTTCCTATCAAGTTGCCGGATGGGAGTCTGAAGAAGGTGCGAAGAGAGAAGGCTATCCCCGAGGACGACACGACAGAACACGCTCCTCTGAGTAGGAAGGCGCTGAAGAAGGCGAGGAGGGCACACGAGCAAGCCAAGAAGCAGGGGGAGGGGGAGCCAGAAAAGGAGGACGGGGAGGGCGAGGAGAAGCAGGAGGAGGAAGAAGAGAACGTCGAGGAGCCCGAGGTCCCAAAGACGCAGGACGAGAAGAAGCTCATCATTGCCGAATGCGGCAGTGCCATCATGAAGGACCCGGAGGCAAACATCAGCCAACTCTCGTCCCTGCACTCCTTCTGCTCAGATCCTGACCTCGTCGTTGCAAAGCTTGCGATTCTCTCAGAGACAGCCGTGTTCTCCGACATCATCCCTGGGTACAGGATCCGCCTCCCTACGCAGAAGGAGAAGGAAATGAAGGTGTCAAAGGAGGTGGCGAAGCAGCGCAAGTACGAGGCTGCGATCCTTAAAGGGTACCAGAAGTTCCTGCAGTTCCTGGAGGGATACGGGAGGAAGGTGGAAAACAAGGCCAAGGACCTCGCGCAGAGCGGAGACGATGCGGCGGTCAGAGGAAGCATGTTGTACATCGTGGTGATGAGCATGGCGAGCTTGCTGAAGAAGCTGCCTCACTTCAACTTCGCCAAGAACATCATGCAGTCGCTCATCAGGAGGCTGGAGTCTCCGGTCGACCTTATCGCCGACGCTGCTCTCTCCGCCCTCAAGGAGCTGGTGGATCAGAGTATCCTCAACGATACTGTTGCTGAGTGCGTTCACATGATCGCCAACGTGGTGAAGGAGAGGGGAGGAAAAGTTCGACCGCAGGTTCTGAGCGTTTTCCTCAAGCTGAGAATAAGCTCGGAGATGCTGGAGGGGGGGAAGAAAAAGTCGAAGCAGAAGCAAGACGAGGAGGAGGAGGACCTGGAGAACTCGCTTGCGGAAGGGCATGCGACTGTGGCGAAGGAGGAGGTGAAAAGAGTGGCAACGGGCATCCTGGAGTCAGTGCTCAATACCTACTTCCGCGTCCTCAAGATGCAGCCTATCCAGCCGCAGCTGCTTCCTCCGGTCATGGAGGGCTTGTCCCGGTTCGCCCATCTGATCAACATCGACTTCTTCTCCGACCTCCTGCAGGCCATCAAGGCGCTCATGATTGCCGAGGACGACGCGGGTAGCGAGGAGGAGAAGGGGGCGCGTCTCTCGGTGGAGAGCTCGCTGCACAGCGTGATCTGCGTGTTCAAGTGCCTGCACAACCAGGGGGAAGTGTGGGACCTCGACCTGCAGGACTTCTACGACGTGCTCTTCCGCTCCATCCCCCGCATCGCGTCCTCCCCTTCCGAGCTTGGCAACGTTTCTCTGCTCCTCGAAGCTCTCCGCATGACCCTCTTCGACCTCCGCCAGCTGTCCACCGACCGAGTCGCAGGGTTTGTGAAGCGGCTCCTTGACCTGTCGCTCCATGTTCCACCGCAGCACGCCATGGCGATCCTGTCCCTTGTGCGGCAGCTCTTTACCCGCTACCCGAAGGTGGGGAAGGAGGGAGAGGAGGAGGGAGAGAGGAGGAGGGAGAGAGGAGGAGGGAGAGAGAAGGAGGGAGAGAGAAGGAGGGAGAGATGCGTGTTGGCTCTGAGTGTTCATGCAGGCTCGTAGGTTGTTGGATACGGAGCACGCTTGTGTCGGAATTTACAATCCAGGTGAGAGAAAGGGGAGGTACGATGAGATGGAGGGAAGACAAGAGGAAGAAGGGAAAGGAATGAAGACGGGAGAGGAACAATTACGACGTTGGGAGGGGAAGAGAATGAAGAGAATGGAAATTTGGATCTTCGGCTTGTCCTGAGCGTTTCTCTGAGCGTTTCTTGTTCAGAGGTTGGCAATGCGGAGCTTTCAAATGCGCTTGCAAGCACGGCTTGGGAGATGAACTTGCTGGCTTGCTCCTACCATCCACATCAGGTGAACAGAGCAGAGGATGGGAGGAAGACAGAGGAGGGAGTAGGTGACTGTGGTCGTTTGAGAGCGAGAGGAGGAGAGGAATCGGGAGGAGGCGAGGAGAAGAAAAGTGTTTGACGCGTTTTATGCTCAGCAAACAGCGGCGACTGAAGTTGCCGGGATGACGCAGGAGAACACGTTGGACGAGGATCGCTACAGGTACGGGAGAAGAGAAGTGAAGGAGACATCTGAGGGATCAGAGCAAAGGGGAGGAGTGAGAGAATGGAGGAAGTCTGGGGTCGAAGAAGAGGGAGGGAGGGGAGAGGAGGGAGGAGAGAGGAGGGGTGGGAGAGGAGGAGGAGAACAGGTAGAGAGGGAGAGCTGGAGTGCGAGTGGGAGTCGGAGCGAGAGACTGATTTCCTTGCAGGGCCCTGATCACCTCAAAGCCCTTTGAGAGCTTGTTGAAACAGTATGACTCTACCAAGGCAAGGAGTCCTCTACCTCCTCCCTGCTCTCTCTATTTGCCCTGTTTATCTTCATTCTATCTATCTGTGCTCTATTTCCAAAATTCCTGTCTTGACCCTCCTCTCCTTTCTGCCCTTCTTTGCCTATTCCCCTTCCTTGCCTCGTCAACGTAATTTCCTTTCCTCATCCTTACTCACGTTTCTGCTGTCTTGCTCTGACTGCTCGCAGGGAGGATTCAACCCTCCTATCAAGCAACCTTCTCCGCATCCCTTGATGGTACTCTACGAGAAGAGGAGCAGGTGACACAAGCTCGATAGTCCCATGGGAGAAGCAGGAAGGAGAGAAAGAATAGGATCACAGGAGCAGGAGCATGAATAGGATCACAGGAGCAGGAGCAGGAGCAGGAGCAGGAGAGGGAGGGGGAACAGGAACAGCAGGGAGAGCAGGAGGGAGAGGAAGTTTGGGGAGCAGGAGCAGGAACAGGGCAGGAGCAGGAACAGGGGTTTGGGGATGGGGGATAGTGATAACAAAGGCGTTCAACCAGGAAAGCAAAACGAACGAGGGACAGCCGACCCATCGAACTTTTCGTCAGCGAGCCAAAGCACGCGGACTCGAATTTCCTCAAGGTGAACCCTCCTGTAATTGATCTCATCCTATCCTCGTCCTTGTCCTTGTCCTCGTCCTCGTCCTCGTCTTCACTCTCAGATCTCTTAATCCCTCTCCCTTCCTTCCGTCATCCGCCTCTGTCCCCGCATCTCTCCTTGCTCACAGGAGCTTCTCCTGCAGGCGTTGAAGGCAAGGAATGGCAACGATCACTGTGTGGCCCAGAAGGTGAGGCTGTGATGATGTTGATTCACACGTTGACAATCTGCGAACTAGAACTTGGAAAATCTGAACAACTCGATGTGCGCGCAAGATGTGATGTCCTTCTTCAACAAGACAGCAGGAGTGCAAGCAGGTACTTTCATCTTGTTCATTGGCATCATCCTTACCACAACCCTCATCATCGCACTCTCCACTTCTCTACACATCTCTTCCCCATCCCCGGCGGCTCATGCTCTGAATGCAGTCAAACAAGTGAAGCGACAGAAGCTATCGAGCCAAAAGACAAATGCTGTGATCGGAAAGGCGGCGATCAAGAACAAAACGACCCGCAAGAAGATCAGCCGCAAGTAGCCGACGTTGTTCTAATATTCTCACATCAGCATTACCTGAAGCTGTACAGACTTGTTGATAATGAACATGAAAGTGCCAAGGGTCTTGTCATGTGAGACCATCAATCTCTCTCCGTCCTCGGCTATCTCCCTCCCCTGTCCCATGTACATCTTTCAACTGTCTTCTTATCTCGAATTCTCCTCCTCCTCTCTTTCCCCCCTGCCCCCCTGTCTGCCTGCCCCCCCCTCCCTTCCCTCCCTTCCTCCCTTCCTTCCTGCCTCCCTCCCTCCCTCCCTCCCTGTCGTCTCCTAGATTCAGAGTACCGGTACTACGATCATCCATCATTCGTGGGTGCACCCCATCAAACTCAGCGTACCACCCACCCCTCTGACATATTTGACAACCCCACCCCAAATATCTCCCTCCTGCAAGCGGCTACTCCTTGCGGAAGCAGAATGCCAACGGAGTGGGAGAGGAGGGAAGGAGTAAGAGAGAAAGAGGAGGAGGAGAGGTGAAGGAGGAGGAGGAGGAGGAGGAGGAGGAAGAGGAGGAAGAGGAGGAGGAAGAGGAGGAAGAGGAGGAGGAGAGGAGGAGGAGGGGGAGGAAGGTGAAACAGGAGGAGCGAAGACAAGAACAGAGAGAGAAGGCAGAGTTGTGTACTAGATGGGATGAAAGCGAAGAGAGAATGGTACCAAGGAAGGGCTGGGCAGGACAACAGGTATCGGGCAGGACAGCCCAAAGCGGTGGGCGAGAGGGAAGAAGTTGGAGAGTGGTTGGGAGATGTGTGGGGAGATGAGATGAGATGAGATTAGCATGTCGAGATTACCAGACAGAGCAGAGGCCAAGCGGACAGGTTCTAGCCGATTTTTGTGTGGCGTGTAGTTCCATGTAGATAATGAAGGAAGCATTGTTGTCATTCAAAGATCCTGCTGATATGATATGCATGCAACTCAACATGGCGCTGGCATGCTCTCCCTTCGATGCCCCTGACAGAGTGGTTCATAACAGCTGCAGATCAGTAACAAACATGGATGGCGCCATGGCAACGGGCCTCCCCCTCATCTTCCTCCTCTCTCAGGCTGGCATGCAAACACGAGGCATGGTCTAAAACCGCAAGCGTGTCTATCAGAATGTCAGCGTCGTTGATAGGAATGCCGAGGAGCGCTGCATTGCTCCTTCTGATCGCCCCCCTCGCAGCTTCCATGAGTCATGCGCCGCATGCTCGGTCGCCCGCCGCCTTCCTGGAGGAGTCGACGTGCAAGCAGCTGTTGAACGAGTCCGCATGCTTCCTGAGGGACGGATGCGCCTGGTGCTTCGAGGATGGAGATCGCAGCAGCAGCCAGAAGTTCTGCATGGCATGGCAGGAGTGCGGGGGCCCCTCGAGCCTCTGCGAGCTCCGGGGGAACGAGTCAACGTGCAACGGGAAGGATGGGGACCCAAACAAGACGAGCAACTGCCGGTGGTGTCTGACGGAGAGCCGCTGCGTGACGGGCCTGTGGGAGGGTGGCAACGTGAGCAAGGCAGATCAGGGGCAGTGCGTTGGATGCGACGGAGAGTTCGACAGCGGGGCGGACTTCGACGTCTGCGAGGTCTGCGGTGGAGCGTGCGTGGAGCCGTATATCAGGACAGATAACCCATCCTGCTCCTGCCTCGGATGCGACGGGACTCCCTTCTCTGGCCTTGTGGTGGACGCGTGCGGGGTGTGCGGGGGGAGCAACGATAGCTGCACTATCTACCCGTTCACCTTCGAGCAGTCCATCGGAGTTTCTCTTGCGCTGTCCGGTAACTTTGTGATCTCCCTCAGCCTCAACCTGCAGAAGTACACACACAACCAGAACCAGGAGCTGTCAGGAGGAGAGCGGTCGTACACCGACATCCCCTTGTGGTGGGTCGGTATGGGCCTTATGGTCCTGGGCGAAACAGGGAACTTTCTGGCGTACGCGTATGCTCCTGCTACCCTCGTTGCTCCCCTCGGTGCCGTCACGGTGATCAGCAATAGCATCCTCGCTCACTACGTGCTCAAGGAGGACTTGAGGCCGAGGAACGTCGCCGGCGTCGTCCTCGCAATCCTCGGCGCTGTCCTCATCGTCGTGTATGCACCAGACTCGCAGAAGCAGTTGACCATGGAGCTGCTGGAGCAGTACATGAGCGAGACCTCCTTCATCATCTTCATCATCTTCATCCTCCTCACCATCACAGGGCTTCACGCGCTGGGGGAGCAGTACAAGAAGCGGTATGTGGTGCTGTACCTGCTCATGTGCTCCCTGTACGGATCGCTCACGGTCATGTGCGTCAAGGGAGTTTCAACTGCCTTCATTCTCACCATGTCGGGGCACAACGCTTTCAATCACCTGCTGCCTTGGGTCCTGGTGATCACCATGATCGTCACCACCATCACTCAGATCCGCATCCTCAACCTTGCCATGATCAACTTCGGTGCTTCGGAGGTGGTCCCGGTCTACTACGTCCTCTTCACCTTCTGCTCGGTGCGTTGGTTGCAGACAGAGATAGGAGAGAAGAGGAGGGTTAACGACGAGGAGAGTAGAACCAGGAACGGATATGGAGGGAGAAAGGGGAAAGCAGATGGAGAAGGAAGAGGAGGGAGAGGGATGAAAGAATTGAAATGAAGGGGGCTGAGAGGTGGGAAAGAGAAGCAGGGAGATAGCGTGGACAAGGAGGAGCAGGAGCAGGAGCAGGAGCAGGAGCAGGAGCAGGAGCAGGAGCAGGAGCAGGAGCAGGAGCAGGAGCAGGAGCAGGAGCAGGAGGGCTCAGGTTGACTTGCAGTGGACGCAGGTGGTAGGGGGGATGGTCCTGTACAAGGAGTACCATCAGAACTGCCCCGACCAGGACCTGCCGTGCAACAAGACTCTCTTCTTCCTCCTCGGCATCTTCGTGACCTTCTCCGGCGTCTACCTCATCACCTTCTCTCGCAAGCAACCCGACCTCTCCTACCGCTACGATGAACCCTTGAGGTGATGCGGCCACATCCTCTTTCCCTTCTCTCTCCTCCCCCTTGCCCCCCCCTTCCTCTCCTCCCGTCCCTCTGCCCCTTTTTCCTTCTCTCCTCCCTTCTCCTCCCTTCCGCTTCCCTGTCGTCCTCCTCCCTTCCCCTGCTCCCTTCTCCTTTCATCTCCCCCTGTTTTCTCTCCCGCTTTCCACTCCTCCCTAACCCTTCTTCCTTCTGCTCCTCCTCCCCAGCCCTTACTCCTCCTCCTCTTCCTCTTCTTCCTCCTCCTCCCTGACTCTTCCCCTCCTCTCGCCGTGGGGGTTGGTAATCTTTGGCTGCTGTAGTTTGTCGAATGATGAGGAGAGGGTCTCCGAGAGAGAGGGCCTGCTGGCGGAGACAAGCCTGGAGGAGGGAGAAAGGATGCCGAGAGAGCTGCGAGAGCTGGCGACAGTTTCAGTTTCAGGTTGCTGCCCCTTACCTTCCTCTCCCTCCTTGCACTCTCCTCGCATCCCTTCACTCTCCTCCTCCCCTTCCTCCTCCTCCTCCCCCACCTCTTCTATCACTATCTCCCCTCCTCCTCCTCCTCGTCTTGTTTCCCTCCATTCGAAGTCTTTGCTGATCTCAGTGCTGCAGGAGCAGCCACTTCGTCCGTGGACGAGACAAAGTTTCTCCCCTCGGAGCTGTGAAGTTAGGTGCGGGTGTAATTTAATTCTTTAAACAGTAAAGGACCAACGATGTGTGGAAGGGTCGAGTACCCCCAAACAGGATGGGATGGAGGATGGGAAGGAAAGGAGAAGGTGGGAACAAGAATTTTGCTCTTGGTGATCGACGACCTTCCTTTCCCTTCCGCTCTGATTCACAGCTCTACAAGCCCTTCAGCTCTCAAGACAAGGGAGCAAGCTTGTTCGTACTTCATTTACTCCTCAACTCATCTCAACAGCTCTCAACCGATTCTCCTCTCCTCTCCTCTCCTCTCCTCTCTTCTCCTCTCCTCGCCTCTTCCCTCCTCTTTCTGCCCCTGTCTCTCAAATTTTGAACCGCCCGTTGCTATCAAACAAGGAGGCTACACGATGCAGCTCGCTTCTGGACACCAGCCTGTCTCCGTTGACATCCACCGCATGGAGCGCAGTGTGAAGTCCTTCTGCTGGGACCCCCAGCGCTCTCAGCGCCAGCATCACCTCGTTAGGGTCCAGTATCCCGTTGCCGTCCTTGTCGAACCTCTCGAACACTCGGTCGATCCCCTCGAGCGAGAGAGCGCTGACGTAGCTGTCAAACGCTCCACCGTCAGCCCCAGCTAGTTCCCAGCCAAAGTGACTCACCTCGTCTCCACCGCAGCCTCCTTGGGCTTGACCTGCTGCTTGGCAAAGATCCTCTCGCGATCCAGCTGCTGGAAGCGACTCGAGCCGTCGGAATGCCGCCGAAACTCGATATCATGCAAGATGTCTTCGACGCCATGATCAGAAGACCTCGGCTCCTGCGAGCTGCTGCAGGTCTTCCGTCCCGCTCCTACTTCCTCTGACTTGTCATGGCTGTGATGATGATGACGATGATGGTGATGGTGATGTTCAGCATGATGCTCCCCGTGAACTAGCCGGTAGGCCTTGCTGAACTCAGCCTTGCTGATCCTCTGATCCCTGTTCACATCCAGCTGTCTCAGGAGGGTTTCCATCTCCTCCTCCTTGGCCCCGACCATCTTGAGCGCGTACCGGGCCTCTTCGAAGCTGAGGAACCCGTTGCAGTCCCTGTCACAGTAGTCGAACACCTTCGGAAGATCCTGACGGCTGCAACGCTTGTCACCCATCCCTCACACCACCCTCTCCTCCTCACCTGCTCACTGCCGGGGCCGGAGCCCGCCGGTCCAGGTCACTCAGACTCTTCCAAGGGTTGGTGATCCACTTCGCACGACAGCTGACAGGCTGAGCCTCCACGGGCTTCAGTGAGATCCCCTCGGTCTGCAGCTGGAGGAGAGCTAGGGCCTTGAACTCTCGCTTGCTGATCACTCCGTCGGCGTTGGTGTCGATGAGACGGAAGACCGGCTCCAGCTTCTCCTCCGGCAGCCCCAGAGCTGCCAGCGCCCTCATGGCCTCCTCCTTGTCCAGCACTCCATTGTGATCCAGGTCGCAGCGGTGGAACAAATTCCTCAGGTACTTCATGTCAAACGCTCCGGCGCTGCCGACCCGCAGTCAGAGCAGCTGCTTGAAGAGCATGCGAGGTAACAACTGACCTGCCTCCCTCCCCTGGTGAGCTCTGTCCGCTAGATGATCGACTGCCGCTCCTGCTCGATCGCCTTGAAGTGCTCCCCTCCTCGCTGCTGTAGCCGGCCGACAGCTCACTGTGCCTATGAACCACCGTGAGGAGAACCAACAGGTCAAACGCGCCCCCACCTCTGAGTCTTGCGGAACTCCCGGTAGGACACGTCTGACCTCCTCCTGTGGGGGCTCTGTCCTCGGCCCAAGTGCTCTTCGAACTTCTCTGGGCTCGGGGTCCTGCTGGAGCTCCTGGACGACCTTGGCCTGACCTCCTGCTCCTCCAGCAGCTGAAGCTTCTCCGGCCTTACCAAGATGGTCTTGCCGCCTCCAAGCTTTATCTCTACCTTGCCTCCCAGGAAGTCGTTCACCAGGGCTCTCTCGCCATTGTACTGGGGGGCACTTCGCAGCCCGTCGACTAGGACGCTCTGTCCCACTTTGAAGCTCATCGCCTGTCAAAGGGCATACGGTCAGTCGATGAAGAAACATCATGACACTTCCTCTCAGTCCTCTCCTACTAGGCCTGTCTCAATGCACCTCAGTCTCCTTAGCTCTACAGCCTCCTCCTCAGTCTCTCTTCTCCTTCCCCATCTGCGGCCGCGTGCGGCGTCGACCCGACAGTTGTTCGTGCAGCAGCCTCCGCTCGCTGTTGCTTTGATATGTCAGTGAGTGAGTGCTTCCCTCCGTTCCCCTCCTAGTACCGACGGTACCCCCGTACCCCCCTATAGTAGGCTCTCATCCCATCATGAGAGGGTGGGTAGGGGTATTCGGCTCGGAGCATGAGACCATGATGATGACAGGTGGCAGTGACTCCGAGACCCCCCGATCACTACCAGAATATTTTACTCATCGAAGAGTGCCTCTATCTTGTGCCTGCTGGCGCCGGCTCGACCTCCAACTCCGACTGGCCGAGTGACTCCGAGCCTGAGACTCTCGGAGACTCAGTGACAGCGAGTCCGAGCCGGGAGGCTCCGGGAGCCACTGCCGAGGTCACGGACTCGCCGGAGTCATCCGAGTCGGACGGCGATCATGAGTCAAGTCCTCGGAGCTTGGCTTGAATCGGAGCATTATGTCTTCAACGGTTCAACGGTTCCAACTGAACTGATAGTCACGGAGGCTGATCCACGGATCAAGCCGCAGTGTACTGCCGCGGGGTCCCCGGAGGCCAGGCCCGGCGGGGGCCGGCCCGGGGGGCATTACGTTCGCTTGTTGGTTTTGGGGTTCTTTTTCCTGTGGGGCTCTGATACAGGCGTGGTAGAGTTTGAAGAGGGAAATGCACAGGGGTGGGTCCTGTAATACTAATTTATTTGTTTTAATGGTACAAATTACAATACTTTTAAGAGTCCAGCATTTTATGATGGTAGACCCCCCGAGCCCCCCCCCCCTCCCTTCAGCCCTCTCGCGATGGTGCAGGGATATGCACAACGCTAATCAATGACGAAGACGGATAGACCATCAAGATTCGAAGTTAATGTCGATGAGATATCTTGATAGCACGGTCGTTGTGTTGCTTTTGTGAATACAATCATCATTATCGTAATCTAATCTTGCAAGTTCAGAATCAAGCACCATCCAAGTGTTGCTGTGATGATTTTTCATTCGCATAGTCGACAATGTTATGTTTTATCAATAAACAAATGCTTGAGATGTAAAGTATTGCACTAGATATCCAGTGCTGTTTGTCAAAGCAGCTCAACCTTCACTCGTGCCCTCACAAACAAGATGGGACAACGAGCATCCTGCTCTTGCCTCATCATAGTGTAATCAAGGATTTTGATTTTGCATAGTTCAAGATATTTGATGTTAGAAATTTTGTGCCTCAGATTTACAGTATACATTTGAATGGGAGCGGCAACATGTTTCACGGGCATTGGCAAGGTGTATGAACATCCAACTAGGGTCACGAAAGCATGAACTGAGCTGAGTGTACGTGTTCTATCAAGCACGATTCAAAGCTCATGGCCCTGCTTTGAAGCGCGGTTCGTTCGGAACCTTGCAACCTGCATGCTGTGGACTGATATGATGTTCAGAACTCTAGAGTGTTGTAGACAGTAGCAGCTTCGCATGCAGCGAGTAGCAATACTCTGTAACACGATTGTTCTCGGTCAAGGCATCAACAGACGGTACGCATTTCATTAAGCATGATTTGGAATTAGTTTACTTGCAAGAGAACTCCTGTGCACATGACTCTGCAACTGCGCTGGAAAGTTGCATGCAGATCTCAGCATGATGATGTGACGCAGAAAAGCTCACTCCATACAGGTTGTCAACTCTCACGATGTAAGGATATGAAGTCAAGCTATGTATGCAACATTGAGATACGTTGCTTCAGAAGTGATCCACTGTCATGAATTCTCATGAATTCATTCAAATCGTCTTTTCTCCACATGTTGAGCACCAACAGCAAGTATTCGATACACTTAGATCATCCCTACATAATTTTCTTTTGTCGTAAAACTTGTCTGCTGTCGATATCGTCACGAGCATGTAATATCTTACATGTGTTCATTGTTCTGCTAGGAAGGAAGGTGCCAAGGAAAAAAATGCCGTGTTGCTTGTTCATGTGGATGCACGATGCTTACCTGATACACAAACATGAGAAGATCAATCTTCACTTGATCTCAGCCTCACCGTGATTCGTGATGGGATCTGTTTTTGAGAAACAGATTGCCGCTAACAGTTTGCACGTCTTCAACAATGTTGTTCAAGCTGGAATTGGGGTTCTAAACAATCTAGACAATATAACGTCTGTCATCAACCTGTATGTGGAGTAGCAATGCCAACCTGAGTGCATCACCACATGTAATATGTGCAAGTGCAGCGTTGAAAAGGGCAGAGCTTTGGGCATCCTGATCCATGCACGATGACTGCTCGCCGGGAAGCAGGATCTGTCACTAAAGTATCAGAGTTGCAAAGTGAGCATGCATACCACTCAAACCCACCATCTTTGATTCTCATGTTTGACCTTTGTCACCATGTTGGTCTTGGCATCTTTCAGTAGCCTGATGGTCGCTGGATGGGCAACATTCATCATGCATCGAGAGGGAGGGATGGGTTGGGGATTCCTTACCACCCACCCCCTGATCCCAAGATTGAGTGCCGTATCGACCACCCTCCTGTTTTAGGGAATTATGACACATGAGCAAGGGTGGGTACCTTACGTTAAAGTTCAAATTTTGAATACACGCCTCTGACCAGGGGTTATGCCTGCTGTATCCAACAGAGAAAAGCATGGGTGGGTCGATAGGATTTTCGGTACTGTTCTTGTACCACGAAGGCGTGTAGAATTGATTTTATTGTCGTCATGCAGTACAGTTTGAATCTAAGAATAGCACGCCGCCGATACAAATTTCTGCATGCAAATACTTGGAATAAAAGGTTCACAACCTACCCTTGCCCCAGCCAAGTCGCCCACCCGACCTACTCTTTTCCCATGGGAGAGTGAGGGTGGGGTCTACTCCAGGCAAGGGCAGAAGACCCCCAGGCGCCATCAGGGGGGGAAGGACTGGTACAAATTGCAATTAGAGCCGTGTCCATGATTAGTACCAGAAGGACAGGATCGAGAATTAACTAAAGCTATAAGCGAACGTAATGGGGGCGGCAGTGATCGTGACTGAGTACCCGGGAAAAAAAAAAAAAACCGGCGGTATGCGTGCCTCGCGCGGCCCGCAGCAACTGACTTGAACTGAATTTTGAGTACTACGGTACTTGAGAGGCATTGAACCGTTTAGTTTCTCTCTCAGTGACACAAAGTTAAGCATTAAAAAACTTGAAAAAAAAAGTTATTGATCGGACCCGGCGTTCGGAGTTCCGGGGGGCCGAGCCAACGAAGGTTCCGCCGCCGAGTCCCCGGCGGCCTTGACCCGGGCGGCGACTCGGCGACCGGGCCCCCGGCCCCCGGATCGGACCGTACTGGGCTCACTGAGTACGGTCAGGGCCCGGGCCCGGGCCGGCCGCCGCCGCGACTTTTTGATAGTGAATATTTGACTATAGGGCCGCCTAAGAATCGTGCGGCTCCTCATGCTTTGCTGGGTGACGTGGTGGTGGGAGGTGGGGGAGAGCAGCGAGTGGTGAGAGAGGAAGGAGGTGGGAAATATAGGATCAGGAGATGGGAGGATCAGGAGATGGCTGGAGCAGGAGCAGGAGCAGGAGCAGGAGCAGGAGCAGGAGCAGGAGCAGGAGGAGAAGGTTAAGGATAACGACGAGCTGGAGGAGGAGGAGCAAGGGACACAGAAGGATTGCTAGTGAATCAGGAGGAGGAGCGGGGGGAGGGCAGGACGAGGGGAAGGAGCAGCAAGGAGCAGGCTGAAGAGGACTCTGTGTCAAAATCAAGGCAGAACTCAAGTGCAACAAAGGAAGGGGACGGGATCAGCAAAAGCAAACATAAAGAAATATTGGTGTGAAAGAGGGAACAAGTGAAGCTGCGACGATAAATGGATGCATCGCTTGCGAGAAAAGACGAGCTAGTTAACAACGTTATTCCATTCCAAAAGACCCGAGGTCTGCGCGACAAGGGCTGGAGGGAACTAGACATATCAGAAGACAGGTGGAGCATATGATCAGGGATATCGACAGGAATTTGTGGATATAGAGTTGATACAAGATGAGTGGGTTCAAGGAAGACTGCGCACGGCTCGACATAGTCTACAAGATCCCATAATTCTAAACTCGTATGAGGTGGATTGACATATCTTTGCCTACAGGGATGGTGTCGATGCTATGAAACTCTGTTGAAAGATAACCGCCGAGAAGAGAGCAGGAAGGTGTGTTGGATGAATGTTAGATGAATCTCATCTGACAGTCTTGTTGGGTGCAGGTAAGCCAAGATAGAATTGATGTCATCAATCAAGTCTGCAGCCAGCAAGGTTGTGCAAGTGTTGGTGGAGGTTCTGCGTTTGACATCCCCCCAGGCAGCAGACATACTTAGGGACGAAGGCGATCCCAACGGGAAGGGCAGGGGGGCGACTAAGAAGATCATCTCAGTTGCTCTCTTCTGCCTCGTCAGCATCATCATCGTCGGTATCGTCACCAAGACTGACGACCCGAATCACGAGCAACTCTCGTGGGGAGATATTTCCATCTCCGGGCTGAGCAGCTTTGCTACAAGGCTATACAGCACGGACAACGCGAGCTCTAACAGCACGGAAAGCACGGAAGGATACAAGGTAAGGCAACGACGTCAGCTCCTGCCTCACTGATGCTGCGGCTGTTAGCGAGACACCAACACTTCCACGGGAGTAGGCTCAGGTTCAAGATCGAATGAAAGGACCCTGAAGTCGCAGGAGGAGCCAGAATGTACGAAGTGTCAGCTGCGCGCTGCCTATCACCTGAGAAAAGGCGCTGGCCAAAGATCTCTGAGAACAGCGATGATGAGTAGCGATATTAACTTGAGCATCAAAACAAACAAGTAAACACTCTGAACATGATATAGATAAGGCAGCTTGCAAGCATGAGTGGCGCCATGGTTCACTTTTCTCCAATTTTATTATCATCATGCAGATACAAAAATAAGACTATTTATAATGTCAATAACTCACTTCACAAACTATCATCACAGTTTTCCAGATCCTCAAGCACTGCGTACTGTTTCGATTCCGGCTTCACGCATTAGCACAGCACGTTCAGCAGCAGCCTTGAGGTCGACGTGGGCTCTCCTAAGGGCGATCGGATTCGTCTCGGCCTCAGGTGGTGTAATGGGAGAAAGAGATCCATCTTTGCCACTGTATTCCTCCATCCAAGGAGGAGCATTGAAGCCGTTTGACATGGCCCTCTCCCAGGCAGAGTTGGGAAGGTTGGGAACTTCCCATCTTGACTGCTCCGTGGCTGCCATAGGGATGAACCAAGAGACAGCTCCGGTCTGTGGGTCTCTCTGGATGGATTGCTCGCCAGGACGAGCACCCTCCAAGTATTCCACAAGCTCTTCCTCCAGCTGAGACGCTGGAAGGTTGCTCTCCAAGAAAGCAAGCAGGTTATCTCTCCTTGAGGCTGGAAGGCTCTCAGTTGGTTCCACGACAATGACCTTCGGGTCCTTCCTCAGGGCCTCGTTGTCATCGAACAAGAAGGCGTGCTCAGAAGACAATCCGAGGTGCTCAGCAGTGTCTGTTACTCTCTTGTCCGACGCCGTGACAACAATGACTGGTGGTGTCGTCAAGCCAAGCTCCTGCGCAATAGCATCCCTAGCGGCGATGAGTCTCTCCAATGACTTGGAAACATCGTTGGCCTCATCTTCAAGAAGCTCAGGGCCTTGGTAAGCCTTCATCATCTCCTTGGCGCTGGTGACATCAGATGGAATGTACAGTTGTCCCTCGGAATGCCACTCCTCATTGTACTTTACATTGATCGTGGCGTCTCTGAAACAAGAGCGGTAATGGAGTACCTGTGGTCTTCGTGTGTAAATCACAACACGGGTGTCCCTGGACTGCGCATGGAGTTTATCATACGCTTGCCTCACGTTGGGGTTGACAAGATGACGATACAGCTCCTTCACAACTGGCTCTGGTTTGTCCATCCATTGAAGCGCAATTCCCAAATCGTTGCCATCATTCCCATAAATTGAAGTCTTGTCCAAATCCAACATCAAAACGGATTGCTTGGATTCAGCCTTTGCAGGCTTTCTCAAGTGAACGTCACTGTAATGCACATTCTGACGACCACGCAAGGTAGGAGGGACAAATTCACGGTAGAGCTTCATGCTGTTGTCGCCCTGGAAAAGCTTCTCTGACTGACCAAGAGAATGAGTTCCCATGACCTGGGCACTCGATGCCGTCGCCATCCTTGGGACAGGAAGCATAGCAATGGCTGGCACAGCAAGCAAGAGCAAAGTCGTCAACCTCTGGATACGCCACTGATGCTCGGCCTGGCTCTCCAGCAAGCATTGTTCTTTGTACATTTGCTTCATTCTCTGAGTAGCAGACGCCACAGCAGCTCTCACAGAGCTGCGAAAATCCTGTCCAACCTGAGAAACTGTCTCCTTAAAATAGCTGTAGGAAGACGGCAAGCAAGGTCCTGTGGCACCAATACTGGTCGAATCTTCAGCTGGAACATCTAAGAAGGAGAGCTGGATGAACGCCAGTGTTGAATTCTCTCCGCTCAGCACAGGAGCCACTTGTACCAGGCTGGTAATTTCTTCACACTTGGCATCGCAAGTTGTCAAGACCTCTGAGTGATAATACCCACAGCGCCCGGCCTGAATCAGCGAAGCGAGTTTGCTGGTGTCGGTTGAAGGTCCTTGAATCAAGCTCAAAGTCCTTCCTTGCATCTGACTCTGCAAGAAACCAAAATATGCCTCAAAAGGAACAGAAACATATTCTATTCTCCCATTATCTAGGCGAATGACCAGCTTCTTAGTGCCATCTTCTGCAAACGCAAACTTCGACTGGACGACTTCGAGCGTTTGCATTCGGAGGACACACTCATTTTCCTCGCAGCCAACACATTTGTTGACAACGTTAACTTTGACTACTAAGCGCTTGCCTTCATGGTCGTAAAGAGAAATGACCTCGCTGCATTCAGCATGCAAGGCAGCATTCTTCAACAATGAGTTCAGCAGGGTGATGTCAGTGCAAGGTCCATTGATGAGGCGAATGCTTCTGCCAATAATTTCACTCCTTGCGAAGCCGAAGACGCCCAAGAAGTTCTGATTGACCGACTTGATACGATTGGGCTGCTTGAGCTCCACGCGAATTTCCATTTCGTCGCTCATCCCTGAACTCTTCCAAACTGGTATGGTAACCAGCACTTGACAATGTACACACAGCTGCAATATCAATCACTCCAAACCAAAGTTGCCTCGGCTGAGAGCTTGAGTGTTCTTCTCTGTCTTCCTCTCCTCCCTTTCACACTGTCATCCCAAGTGCGACTCTCCTCCACCCATCTTGCCGCGGATACTAAATACTCCCTGGCTACCCCAATGGTACTTCACCCCCCAAGTTACACCACCCACCTTCCCCCTACCCCCACGTTCGGAGTCACATTGGACATGTACCCGGTACATTTCCCAGATTTAACCCGACCAGTGTTTCATTTCCTTTATAAGTACCCCATGCGACTCCCTAAATGCTCTAGTAAAATAGGTACAATTCATGGACCCCTACCACGGTCACAACTTTTGCCCTCTTGGTCCTCGCTGCTTGCACCACTACCCACCTTTTCAAGGGGTACCCCCAAAAATAAACCCTCCCCCCCCCCCCCCCCCCTCGTGCTTACAAGAAGAGGCCGCCTCCTACGAACCTTGATATGACCTGGTGTTAGGAACTGGTAGGATTTCTCCTTGTTTGTGTACCCAATCATTTCCCAAGAATGCAATTTCGGGGGTGGGTAGGGAAGATATCATCTTAAAACATTTTCTTGGTACTTTATTCGGGCGAGGCTAGAAACTATATATACTTTATCAGGTACTTATTTTATATCTTAATAAAAATACAATACCAGAGACTGTTATGGGGGTAGGAGAGATTTCGGTAGTGTTTTGCGACCCCCCATTTCTAAAAGAGTATTTGGATGAGAAAAAGTAATTTGTATCAGAAAGACCCAGAAAAGTTTCTTTATTTGGATACAATTTCTTGGAAAATGTTGTTAAAACACAACGAGTGGACATCTATAATCTATTTGTAAGGCCTTTAAAACTAGGCAGAGATGTCATCATGGATTAACGTTTCTCCAGCGGAGATTTCCCTAGGGATACCCGTCTCCTATGACCTGTCTAGGGCACATCCTAATACTTTGTTTGGATTGCAAACGGATAAACCGAAATCCTGCCTTTTCTCATCTCGAAGGGAGGAGAGGCAGTCGGAAACTCATCGAAAAAGAGTGTTTTCGATCTGGTGCGAAGAAGCGGATCGTCATGTACAAATAAAAGAAACAGAGCAAGTTTCCACCATCCGTCATAAAAGTTTACTCAAGGTAACCTGACCTGTCCCATATGATGACGTCTGACATATTCCATACAGTCCAAATGGAGCTTTCTCGCATCTGAAGGGTGGATCCCAGTCGCAAACTCTTCATGTCACTGTTGCGACTGGGGCCCGAATGCCCACTGAAGCTTTTTCGCTGGCACCACTGCCCGGCCAGTGACCGGGCGAGTCCCCTGCCGGACTGGGCACGACGCCGTTGGTGACCGACCGGACTGCGAGCCAGGCTACGGTCGCCAGTATCATCATAGCATAACTCGGCAGCATGATCGGACAGTGCACCGCCGCCGAGCCTCGGAGTGGCAGTGCGGCGGCGGACTCGGACCAGCGGCCGCCTGAGCGGCCGCTCGGAGGCTCACGACGGTGGCCGGGCCGCCCGGCACCCGTGACTCACAACCGTCAGTAATAACTTACACTGTCACCGTCGCACCGGTCGCTCTCTCAGGTTGACGCCGTCAGTGACTCACCGTCACGGTCGGAACTTTCGAAGCGTGATCCAAAGTGTCGAACAAAATTTGATGTGTTAAATAATATATTGCTTGTTTCAATTAAATTATTACTAGTAATAAGTAGTAAATCATTAGTTTCTATCAAGTTATTACTTGTTTCAATGGTGATAATTTCTAGATCATTAGTCTTCTGAAATAGTTCGGATGTCTGATGATTAAGGATATCTACATTGCTATACAAGACATTGATATTTGAATTTATTTTATTAAAAATAGGCGTGAGAGTTGTGTTATTAGTAGTGCCGACATACTGATATAAATTTTGATATCTATTGTCACAAGACATTTATAATAAAGAAAGATAGATAATAATAAAAAAAAGAATATAATTTAGTATAATAATGGTTGCTGGAAGCGTAATGATAAAGGGGTTTTAATAAAAAGGAGAAAAATAATAGATAATATATAATATATAACATTATAATAGAGTGGGGATAGTTTGGCATCCGGGTGGCGAAGGGTGGCGAAGGGTGGCGAAGGGAGGCGAAGGGGTGGCGAAGGGAGAAGCGAAGGGGACCCTTTGCCATGTTTTAGCTGGATACAAGGGTAAAAGAAGGGTAAAAAGAGGATATATAGACGTTAGGCGAAGGGGCGAAGGGTGTCTACGGATCTCTCCCGATCCAGTCTGGTAATCCCATATCATCCTGTATATAATATAGAGTATGAAAATTGAATTTCACCCTTCGCCCCTTCGCCTAAATAAATTATGCAAGTTATAGAGCCAAAAAAATAAAAGATAAGAATAATTAAGCCGTGTGTGTGTGCGAAGGGTGAATATTGGCGAAGGGTGAAATTCAATTATTGCCCTTCGCCTCTTTTGTTACTTATATAACCCTTGAAGGATTCATAATTTTAATTAATATTATGTTTTGGCTCTGGCCCACTCCGTGGGTGCGCTCGTTTGTTTTTGTTATTTTGTGTAATAATTGGCACGAATGCGCAGCTATTATTTCAATTGAATAAAATATGATAGGGATTTGGTAAGGAAAACAAAGAGCAATGAACAGATTTTTTGATTGAATATAAAAATCATTGAAATTATAAATTGATTTATAAAAACAGATAAAAATAATGATTTATTCGCAAAACAGATAAAAATTATGATTTATTCGCAAAAAGTTGTCTCCTCACGTTTCATTACAATTAAGTGCATGCGGTCACAGCCGCGGCGTACTCTTCTTGAATCAAAGTCACTTAGTTTGAAAATCAGTACGAGCTTCCAGTCACTAGTATCGCTCCGAGGTTCCAAGTGACCGCCGTTCTGAAGTTCACAGGCTGTACCGTGCCTACCGTACCCGGGCCGTAGTGCGGCAGAGAATTGCAACACGTCACTGAGTCAAGTTGACGGTGATTGAGTCTGTAAGAGTCAATCACTCTACTTCGAACTTAACTCCAAAAAGAGTGTGGCCCTCAACTCACGCACAGCCGCACTGGCAAGGGAGAATGTTGAGCTCGAGGAATGAGAATGCTCAGACAGACTTCATCAGCCGCTTGACATCGTTTGACAGTGATCCGGCGGATGGTCTCGATCTAACGGACTGACAACCTCTGACTCAGATCAACAACAACGATCGGGCAAACTTAGTCAGGCAAACTTGGAGTTTAGTCAATGCGGTGTCACAACAGGGCCCACAATTGGCAGTAACGCCTGGTAAGCGGCCAACAGCGACGACATTAACAGGAAAATCTGGTATTCAATCTTTATTTACAACATAACAAGTGTGAAAAGCTAGTTCGTGCACTCTCAATATGATAGACCTTCGCGAGCTGCCTGTCTTCATGCCATGCGCCCTGCCTCTCGCAGCTTCTACCGGCTGGTATGCCATGGCGACTCCTCGTACCACCGGCGGCTCAAAAGCCCAAGAGCTTCTTGTACAAGGTCTTCTTGGCCGCCAACGAGACTTCCATGGGGCCTGTGATAGGCTGTTCGGCTACGTCCAGCCCGCGATGCGCGGCAGAGGCCATGACGTCGTGGAAAGCCTCCGTCTTGGCTACCTCCACGTACCTCCGCGCTTGTACCGGACCATGCACGCGAGGCTGCACCACAGCCCCGACGGCATGAGGCGCGGTGAGGTGAGGAAGGTGGGGGTTGAAGACAGAGTCGAGGGCAAGGAGCCGAGCCTCAGCTGGGATTTGATGGGGCATCACAGCGCCGGTCGTAGGATGAGGCAGATGTGACACGAGCACATCATGCTTGGCCTGGGCAATGGCGAACACGGGGTTGGTGGACATGTTGAGTGATGGCTGAAGGAGGTAGAGTAGGTCAGAGCAAGTAGGCTTGAAAGGGTAGTCTAGTCGTGAGCGGAGCTGACGAGGTAGTCGAGGATGAGTAAGGAAAGAGCTCGGGAGGGAGCAAAGGGGCGAGTAGAATGGAGTAGCGAGACAAGGAGTGGTGAATTTATAGGGGCGGGAGGGGAGGAGGCTGGCAGCCTGTAGGTATTTTGGTTTGCATTTCCATTTTTAGCGACAGAAGTGTCATCAGAGAGGCGAGGACCTCGGAAACACGTTATTTGGCGCTCCCAAAGAAAAAAACAATCAAACCGCCTCCATGCAGGTCAAATCTTCTTGAATCACTGAACCATCTTGTATTTTTGCTCCGGCGACAGCCTATAGTACGGTGCCGTACGGTACTACGACGGTACTAGCCTGGCCTGCGCGGCCAGCCGGGCCGCGGCAGGCAAGGGCCGCAAGTTGCGGCCCGTCCTTGCCGCAGCCTGTCAGCCAGTGCACTCGTGACGTGACATGCCACCGTGCCACCGTCCGGTCCGTCCCCCGCGGCGGCCCAGCCAACCGGCGTGAACGGTTTCGAAAAAGGCGCTCGGCTATTTGACTGAAAGTAACTTCCGCGGGGATCACGAATAATTGGACTGAAACTGAGGAAAGGGCCTCAGGCTGCCGCCGGAGCAAAAATACAAGATGGTTCAGTGATTCAAGAAGATTTGACCTGCATGGAGGCGGTTTGATTGTTTTTTTCTTTGGGAGCGCCAAATAACGTGTTTCCGAGGTCCTCGCCTCTCTGATGACACTTCTGTCGCTAAAAATGGAAATGCAAACCAAAATACCTACAGGCTGCCAGCCTCCTCCCCTCCCGCCCCTATAAATTCACCACTCCTTGTCTCGCTACTCCATTCTACTCGCCCCTTTGCTCCCTCCCGAGCTCTTTCCTTACTCATCCTCGACTACCTCGTCAGCTCCGCTCACGACTAGACTACCCTCCCAAGCCTACTTGCTCTGACCTACTCTACCTCCTTCAGCCATCACTCAACATGTCCACCAACCCCGTGTTCGCCATTGCCCAGGCCAAGCATGATGTGCTCGTGTCACATCTGCCTCATCCTACGACCGGCGCTGTGATGCCCCATCAAATCCCAGCTGAGGCTCGGCTCCTTGCCCTCGACTCTGTCTTCAACCCCCACCTTCCTCACCTCACCGCTCCTCATGCCGTCGGGGCTGTGGTGCAGCCTCGCGTGCATGGTCCGGTACAAGCGCGGAGGTACGTGGAGGTAGCCAAGACGGAGGCTTTCCACGACGTCATGGCCTCTGCCGCGCATCGCGGGCTGGACGTAGCCGAACAGCCTATCACAGGCCCCATGGAAGTCTCGTTGGCGGCCAAGAAGACCTTGTACAAGAAGCTCTTGGGCTTTTGAGCCGCCGGTGGTACGAGGAGTCGCCATGGCATACCAGCCGGTAGAAGCTGCGAGAGGCAGGGCGCATGGCATGAAGACAGGCAGCTCGCGAAGGTCTATCATATTGAGAGTGCACGAACTAGCTTTTCACACTTGTTATGTTGTAAATAAAGATTGAATACCAGAATTTCTTGTTTGTTCATAGTTCCAATCCAAGTGACTTGCTGCTTTACTGAGAGGATTTCCAAGTGGAAACATCAGCACGTGTTCTGACTCGTGTTCTATCATGATGAGGGTACTCTGGCTAGCAGTTACTTGACCAGGCAACACCGGGCAAGACAGCAATCACTTCCTCTGAGGCGGAGGGGCCATCTAGGCCCGGAGAGCAATATAATCATGGCGTTCGGGAAGGTACCCGGGTGGGCGATATGGCCGATGCTTCTCCTGCTGCCTGATGCAGGTATATGAGGACAGAGATCGATGCTCCACCCCGTCCTAGACGTTCTCTTGACTGACTGAGGCTTTTTGCTCGAGGAAGGCTCCGGATTTCTCGTGGGTCAGAGCCTGACTTGTCCGTTTGCGCCGGGGGCGACGAGGGTGAGTCTCGTTCTTGATCATGAGCATAGGACGGCTTCTTGCCTCCTTGAATAGATATTGGGGCTCTTGAGCATGGGAACAGATATCCTGTCACTTGCACAAGGAATACAAGCAAACTTTTGCTAGGAGGCAACTCAGGCAGCTCACGGAGGAATCGATCCTGAAGATAGCCTCGGGGTTCATGGCCATTGGTGCGTGCAATGAGGCTCATGCTGCATACTGATGTCTGATATCTCATCAGGTTCCTTTGCCCCTGCTTCGAGTGGGGAGGAAACAAGTGCCGTGCCTTTCGGACTTTCTTGGCCCTGAAACCTGCTTTCAGGCTCGAATGGGAACTTGAGGAGAGGAGAAGTCGCAGGGGACTTGAGAACCAATCCTCTTGTGAATGGCATCATGGAAGACTTCGACCGAAGGTTGGCTCCCTCTCACAGACATGTCTAATCTTTCCCCACTCCCGTCTCCTCCTCCTCTGACTGTCCTCTCAGGTACGGAGCAAACTCACAGTACACAAAGCTCGTAGCGCCGCCGAAAGTGCGCGGGCTGTCCAAGGCAGCGCTGGCTCGCATCATCGAGCGAGATCTCTCTGAGAGGTGATATGAAGAAGACATGGTTTCAGCGTGGAGCTCAGACGTGCCTGCTCGCAGTCAGTACTATGTGACTGGGAACCTCACTCGATCCATCTACCGGGACGACTGCCGATTCAAAGATCCGACCACCGACGTGCGAGGGCTGAAGCGATACATCCTCGCCGTCCAGAACCTCTTCGGTGTGTTGAAGCTCATGCTGCCAGGAAGCCTCGTCTGACGCTGAGCAGATCCAAAGGACTCTAAAGTAACGCTCTACTCAGTCACTCCCATTGAGGACAACAAGATTCTCGCGAAATGGAGCCTCCAGGTCTGACAACATCTCTAGACTTTCTTGCCGTTCTCTGATATCGATCTTCTTCCACTTGCCTTCTCTACGATCCCTTGTTCCTTCCTTCCTCTGCTCATCTCCCCGACTTCCAGGGCTCCTTGAAATTGCCGTGGAAGCCCTACATCGAGCCATATGACGGAACTACGACATATTGGATTGATAATGAAGGACTTATCGAGTTTCACGACGAAACATGGTTGGTCAGGGTCGATTCATGAATCCTTCCTCTCGCCGGCAATGCAGAGTTCTGACCCGTTGGTTTTTTTGCAGGAGCATCACTGCAACAGAAGCCTTTCTGGAGGTCTTCGGAGCTGGTACCAGGAAGCGGAAAGTGTAACAAACAAAGATTCTATTGGTCACTGCTTCTTGGGGCTCAGCCCTGGTCCGTATCCGAACCGTTCCAACACTTTTGCCACCCTCATACCCAGGCGATACAACGGACTCGGCTTCCACTGCTGCCCCTCCTGGAAGGGGAGGGGCTTCTTGATAGCATGCATCAGTCCGAACACTGCTCCGAGCCCGCCGGTGTTTCCTATCTGCCTGTTGTCGGAGCTCGTCAGGGCACCTGGTAGGACACAAGCAGCATGCATGTGGACCTGTCGCAAGGGTAGCCGACTGTGAGCTGGTAGCACTGTCCCTGCTCGTTGAAGAGCATGGACTGAGCCTGGACCGGCCACTGCACCTTGACACCAGTCGGGGGGATGACAGAGGGAGGGGGAAACATGAGCGGCCCGGTATGGGTCCCCGATGGGCGGGACCACCACCAGACCCTGTTGGGCTCGAGAGGGTCGACGTTGAAACCCCTGTCAGGACAGGAATGAGCGGCAGGGACGCAGAGTCATGGTAGAGGGAAGGCGGAGAGGGAGAGGATGCAGAGTCATAGCAGAGGGAGGGGTGAGAAAGCGGGGGTTGTGACCAGTAGTTCTCCTTTAGGTCGGGAAGAGCCTGCTCGAGCGAGAACGAGCCAAAAGTTCGGATGAACTCTTCCTTTCCCAGCGGCCCTACATAGGGTGCGACGAACCTGCATGGATGAATCATGTCAGACGAGGGAGAGGGGGCAACTGTGAATGAACGACCTGAAATCCTCTGCGATCAGATCGGGGTTCTTGACTCCGAAACTGCTTTCGAGGACAGCTTTGGTTCTCTCAATCAATTCTTCTGCCTTGATGGGATAGGTTGACGACTTCAGACTTTCATCTACATCAATCTCTCCTTGCTTCCCCGCGAACGTTCTCGAGTTCTTGTACACAGGCTGGTCGATCCGAAACCTCTGTGCATGCGGAACAAAGTCGAAATAATCAGTGGAGGGCCGTCCGAAGAGCAAGCGAGCGATTCTCTCGATGGAGAAGATGAGGAAGGAAGAAAACGCTTGGATGGAGACAACCAGGACGTCGCTGGTGATGTGTCCGAGGATGCTATACCAGCCCACTAGCCCTTCTCCCCTTGGCGCTAGTGCCATTGCAAGCGCCTTTATGAGTAAGATCGGACCGGTGGTGCAGAGCTTTAGTGGGTGAGGTACGGGTACCACTATCCATTGGATGTACGGGGGTGGTTGTGAATTCTGAAGATTAGACAGTAGGTAGGGTAGTAAAACTGGCATGACCAGTGGGTACTTTGTGCTCGTGGTTTGACAGGAGATGAAAGAGAAAAGTAGGGTGAACAAAATCAGTGGTGGGGTACTTCTAGTTAAGGAGAGGTGGGGGTATGTTTGTAATGGGATGAGGCTGGGGTGGGGGTAGGGCAGGGATTTTTGCATGTTTGCATCTTTACTCCTCTCATGGCTGTAGCGGACGGGAAACGTTGAGCCATGGGGAATGTAGAGGAGGAGCAGGAGCAGGAGCAGGAGCAGGAGCAGGAGCAGGAGCAGGAGCAGGAGCAGGAGCGAGGAGCGAGGAGCGAGGAGCGAGGAGCAGAAGGAGCAGGAGCAGGAGCAGGGAGCAGGAGCAGGAGCAGGAGGAGCAGGAGGAGCAGGAGCAGGAGGAACACGCTATGTCTTTGCTCTTGTGTCTTGAAATTCACGAGCAAGGTGAAAAAGACGAGAATTTTGCATGACCACTCTACTAGATGAATATTATGTACGAGAGGTCCCTGTTGCGGTTGCCGCTCCTTTGGATCTTCCTGCCACAGGACGAAAGTTTTTCGTCGAGCACTGACATGGTACCTCAGGAAGGAAGGAGAAAAGAGAGATGGTGGTCTGGGGAGTGTACCTTCGTAGCCTCTCCACTCGCCCTCTGCTCACTAAGTCTCTCTCAAGCGGCTTGCTCTTCGGGGTAGGAGACGTGATCGCTCAGTCTATCAGCCATGACAAGGTGGACGGGGGCCGCGCATGCTGGTTGTCCATGTTTGGCTGTGCTATCTACGGCCCAAGCAACCATGCATGGTTCGCACTGCAGGAGAAGTACGTCAACGTAGGAGGAGGGAGGAAGGTACTCCAGGCCGTCGCTCGGGTGGGGGTGCATAGTGTGGTGT